TCACTATGCTCCATGGCAGAATGCCTCTATAATATTTTCATTTTATGATGGAACTTCTTTTCACATATCTCTCCTTGTTGGGATGCTTTTTGACCTTACCCATCAGATGATGGGTAATTGAGTTGATACAATGTTGTGTCCTTCAGTTAACGGGGCTGTCTTAGTAAATGCCCAACAACTAGCTAATAATGGTCTTTCAAAGAAATATACCAGAGAGCAGTATCAGATAAATGCTCACTGTTAACTATGATTATGGGCTTTTGCCAAAGACTTGAGTCTGCATGAAGGCAGGTGGCTGACATTTCAAGTATCATTTCAGCATTAGCACCTACATGGGTCAGCTCAGGCTGCTATAACAAAATACCATAGACTGAATGGCTCAAACAACAGACATTAATTTCTCATAGTTCTGGAGGCTTGGAAGTCTGAGATCAGGGTGACAGCATGGTTGGGTTCTTCCCGCCTTACAGATAGCTCCCTTCTTTCTGTGTTCATACATGGAGGAAAAAAGAGAGCTCTCAGGTCTCTTTGCTAGGTCTCTTTGCTGTCGTTCCCTAGCAAATAATATTAAAGAAAAGGCATTCACCAGGTCAACTACAGAGAACTGCACAAGAGTTTCTTTTTCTTCACCAACACTTGTTTCTTGTGTTTTTGATTTGAGCCATTCTGACAGGTGTATCTTACAGATTGGATTTGCATTTCCATGATGAATGATGTTGAGCATCTTTTCGTATGTCTGTTGACCATCTGTATGTCTTCTTTGGAGAAATATCTGTTTATGTCCTGAGTCCCACATCAGGCTCCCTACTCAGTGGGGAGTCTGCTTCTCCCTCTCCCTTTGCCCCTCTCCCTACTCATGCTTGCTCTCTCTCGCTCTCTCTCTCTCTCAAATAAATAAATAAAATCTTTAAAAAGGGGGAGGGGGAACACTAGTGGAGTGCCCACTGAAATCTGGATAGACTTTCATAAGAAGCCAATAAAACACGGCTGCCTCTCTGGATGTCTTCTGCTTGTTTTTTAATTGGATTATTTGTGGGGTTTTTTGGTGTTGAGTTGTAGAAGCTCTTTATTCTTGGCCTTTTCTTGTCTTGATTTCTTTTCTTTTGTAAAATTTTAACCTTTGTATTAACCTGAAGTCTCACTGGAGGAAGCTGGGACAAGAAATCCAAAAACTGCCTCTTTTACATCCTCTGAGGTCTAAGAGCAGTATCACATATGGTGTCCATGGTGATAGGGCTCCTTTTATCATAATCTGAGTGAGGGGTATCCCCTGCGGGGCTGATTTCATTATCCTATAGCCTGTCCAGCACAGTCCACATCACAGCTTGAGTAGACACCAACATTTATATGACAAGAGAGGAGCAGAGGACTAAGCGTTCTCTAGTAGTTCCCTGCCTTAATCCATTCGAATCAGCAAAGACTTTTCCTTGAACTATCCCTAGGAAGATAGCAGCCAAAGGAGGATCCAGGATGAGTGCAAACAATCCTCTCCACTCAACAGTACTCAGAACCAGAGACACTGCTACTTGATCTAAAACTCTCAGGAACCATTTCAACAAAGGTCATCAGGACAATGCTTATGACAGTCTGACAGTCTATAAAAGGCCTCCACTGTGTTACTGAATAATCCCTTACTTCATTGCTTTCCTCCATCATCAACTGCCCTCCTTGAATTACCTTCTTAGTTGTAGTGGGTTTCATAGGCTTAGCCAACCCATCAGAAGTTACAGTGCCCGTGTTCCTTTGGTTGGAGCTCCATTTGCTAGCAAGAGAGGATGAAGCTCAACCTAAGGAGATTCTGGACTTTCTCTTTAACTCACGCTGAAAACAGCAACTAGGAACTGATTTAGCCAACCTGCCATCAGTTTGCACTTGTCCTCTTAATTTTGCTAGCTCCTGGAATTCAGGTTGTCATTTCTGTCATGGAAAGTCTTACTACCAACAAGTAACTGATTTCAAAGCTTGTGCTACTTTGAACCAAGAGTAGCTGGACAACCACCTTTGCATCAATGCTTTCTTTCCATCCTCTTTATCAGAATCCTTTTTCTTTCTAAATAATGCCTGAGCCATATTTTTAGCAAAGAATGAGTCAGAAGTCTTCTAAGCAATCCCACCTCTAATACCAACTGTACTAAAATGGGGTTCATTTAAGAAGGATGTTTGACCCCAAATAACAATACTTACAAATCTTGGGGCGCCTGGGTGGCTCAGTTGGTTAAGCGACTGCCTTCGGCTCAGGTCATGATCCTGGAGTCCCGGGATGGAGTCCCTCATTGGGCTCCCTGCTCAGCAGGGAGTCTGCTTCTCCTTCTGACCCTCCCGCTTCTCATGCTCTCTCTCTATCTCATTCTCTCTCTTAAATAAATAAATAAAATCTTTAAAAAAAAAACAAACAAACTTACAAATCTATTACTCATTAGAGGAAATGGATACAACAACAATGTTCAAGTGCGAATCTGGATCACTGCCAAAGGCCGCCTTACAGCAAGGGTCCACACAGACCTGGTGTAAGCTTCTGTCTTCTACTTTCTATAATAGTCATGGTTGTAAGCACTTTCTCTCTCCGATAAGGAACCCCCTACACATGCATAAGACACCTTGGAAAAAGAGAGCCCAGGAGTCTCACTGGGTTTTCTAATATTTTGCTGGATACATATGCAAATTCCTGGTACAAAATCAGCCTCAACAGCAGTGCTCTCTCTGGGCGGGGGCTCTCACAAAGACCAGATGCAAATCATCAATCTCACTCTTACCAATAAACAATGCTGACAGGCTGTTAAAAATCACCATAAAACTCCTTGGGTCCAAGGTTACAAAAGCAACATTATTAGTAGGCATGTTTCAGGTACTGCAAACAGAGGTTAGTGCCAGACGGAAACTTTTAGAGCAAAACAGCTCAGGCTAATTCCAGGACTGCTAGAAATTAACCTGAAGAGAACATTATGTTGAGGAATTGTTCATCTAGTCCTGGTTTACTATTATGATTAAAGGTTGATATGTAACAAATTCAAATTATTCTGCTGCATTTATTTAAATGTTACATAAATTTCATCTTTTTATCTGGTATTGTGGAAAACTGACATGAAGTTTTCCCCCTAGGGTTAATCCACAATTGGTTTTTCTAGAGGGAGAAAACCTAATTTAATCCTTTTTGGTACATTGCTAGATCTGGTTTGATAACATTTTATTTGGAATATTTATGCATTTTTGTTCATGAATGAATTGACCTGTATAATTACTTTCTCACAAATGCTTCCTCTGCTTTTGAAAACAAGTTTAAACTAGCTTTATTGAACAAATTGAGGAGTGTTTCCTATTTTTTTTTTTTAATTCTCTGGAAGAGCTGGTAACAGATTTTTTTTCATAAAAGTTAGCACCTTTTCATTTCTTTACCAGAGCTATGTCATACCATCTTTTGGGCCCTCTGCTGGAAAAGTAGAATCAAGTCTCAAATAATGCCTTTTTAATTGTATCTTCTAATATTATAGATGTAGGACAGTACTGTATCATACCTCTGTGAATGTAAAATATCTTGTACCTGCTTTATGATACGTAATAGTGACCGTGCTTTATCAGAGCTGTTTTTAATGACGTTATTCTAGAATGTCTTCTTTCCAGATGATGATTGAGAAGCTAATAAAAAAATGGTGCCAGGTACCACAACAGTAACAGAACTTTGCTGTTTCCTGGGGTTTTGTTTTTTTTACCTTCCCCCCCCCCCTTTTTTATTAATGGAGTGTGCTGGATGTCTCTATAATTTTGTTCAGATGACTGTAGAACCTGGAAAAGCTGTTGCTGCTATTGATGCATAACATACTGCTATTGGTCTTTTTATATAAATAAATATATATATATATACATACATATACATATATATATAAATAATTTGAATTTTTGGAAACTTTAGCTGTGCTGTCAACTTTGGAAAAAGTATCCCAGTTGTACCGTGTTGGGTTGGCATTGTACAGAAATTAATAGCCATATTGGTCTGGAAATGTTAAACATAATTTTTTCCATTTGTACAGGGGTAATGCACTGTATTAAATATGTAAGGTCTTATCTACATGGGTTTGATTACAAAAACTAATAAAGTATTCTCTAAATAAAAAAAAGCTAGCACCTTTTCTTTATAACACTTTTAATCTTTCTTGATTCGATTTCTTTCGTGGTTATCCTATTCGATTTCTTTCGTGGTTATCCTGTTATCCTTCTAGTTTATTTTTTTTTTTAAGAATTTTATTTATTTATTTGATGCGGAGAGAAGGCACACACACAAGCAGCGGGAGTGGCAGGCAGAGGGAGAGGGAGAAGCAGGCTCCCCACAGAGCAGGGAGCCCAATGCGGGACCCAATTCCAGGACCCTGGGATCATGACCGGAGCTGAAGGCAGATGCTTAACTGACTGAGCCACCCCGGCACCCCTCCTTCTAGTTCTTGAATTGATCTTGGTAAATTATAAATATTTTTAACTTTTTTCTTGTAACTTTTTGTTTATAACTTGATTTTGTTTAATTTTTTTGTCTGTATTGTATTAAAGTTGCTTATCTCTTTAACCTCTGCTGTCTATATCTAAGTCCCTATTTTGGTCCTAATGTTAATGCAATTACACTGAAAAAAAAAAATAATGGCAACACAATCAAAATAACTGATTGTCTTCCCATCATCCCTTCATACATTTCTCAGTGTGGGTATTCTTCCCCTGTGCCTAGATGAAAATTCTAACAAACCCATCTGGATAAAAGATCTAATTAAGTAAAAAACACAATTCAATTATTTGCATACTCAGTCCTAGTATTAACAAAATTCAGAACTAGATTTACCCTCAAAAAATTTTCCCCTTCTCCTCCTGAGACTGTTTTAGGCTGCAAACTTGCAGTGGGAGTCGGGGTCTTGATTCACCTTCTCTCCTTTTTGCCTTTCCCAGTGAGTGAACTGGGGCTTTGTGCTTTAAGGGTCGGTATATAGAGAGGGAATATGAGATGGGTACAGAAGTTCTCTTACCTGAACTGGTTCTCCTTGAGTTGGCTTCCCCTTCTCTGGGCTTGAAGGATGATTCAGCCTGCCTCTAGGAAGGTGGCCCTGATTTCTGGATGCTTGAGGTGCTTTCTCATTTTCTCATTCTTTCTCATGTGCTCTCTCTTTCTGGATTCACTAAAACAAGAGATTTGTCCATTTTATTGCTTGCTTCAAAAACACACTTTGGGACTTCTTTTGAGTCTATTGTAACTTTTTTTTTCCTCTCTGAATGAGATAACATATAAAGCATTTAGAATACTGCCTAACTCAATATATAAGCCTCATAAGTGGGAATTCTTACAACCCACTAGGAAGTGAACTGAATGAGGGTCCATTTTGTTCAATGCTATGTTCTCAATGCACAGTTTCTGGCAAATAAAAGAAAACTAACATCCCTGTGTATCTTTTGTGCCATCCTTTTTCTAAAATCTTTTCATCTACTTCTCAAGGAGAATAGTTAACTTTCATTTTTTTTATTCTAAAATAAAAAGATATTTACATCTATAAATTTCTCTGCACCAATTTTGCAGCATCCTACAATTTTAATAGACATTTTTTGGTTTACTTTTAAGCATATTTTAATTCCTATTAGTTTTTACAAAGATGTTATTTAAAAGTGTTTTTAAATTTCCAGATTTAGGGGATATTTTTATCTTTTATAGATTTATAATCTTATTGTGTTGTGGTCAGAAAACACACTGATGGGCGCCTGGGTGGCTCAGTTGTTTAGTATCTGCCTTCGGCTCAGGTGATGGTCCGAGGGCCCTGGGATCGAGCCCCGCATCGGGCTCTCTGCTCAGCGGGAAGCCTCCTTCTCCCTCTCCCACTCCCCCTGCTTGTGTTCCCTCTCTCGCTGTCTCTCTCTCTGTCATAAATAAATAAAATCTTTAAAAATAAAAAAAATTTAAAAAAGATCCTAGGGTCCTGGGATCCAGTCTCACATCGGGTTCCTTGTTCAGCAGGGAGCCTGCTTCTCCCTCTCCCACTCCCCCTGCTTGTGCTCTCTTTCTCTAACAAATAAATAAATAAAATCTTTAAAAACCAAAAACACTGATAATACCACATTTTTTCAATCTGTTGAAACTTACTTTATGATATGCTAGGTCTATAATTTTCTTCAATGTATGTTACAGTATGCATTCCCTGCTTGTTTAATGCAGAGTTCTATGAATGTCCACTTTGTTCTCAAGCTTGTGTTCTCAGGACCTCTCTACACTCTTAAAAATACATTAAGAATTCCAAAGACCTTTCTTTAATGTGGGCTATATCTAATAATATTTACCAAATTTTAAATTAAAACTGAGACATTTAAAAAAAGTATCATTTAACACTAACGATAAAACCATTATACATCATCAAGAAAAAACTATTAAAAAAACCTTGATTTTTATTTCTAGATTTTTTTTCACCTTATGTATTTTACACAAAGAAATCTAAAAATGAATGGTATTTTCTGGATTTATTTTCCTTCAACACTAAATGAGATCTGCAGGCCAGAGCAACAGCATCACCTGGGAACTTGTGAGAAATGCAAATCCAGACCTACTGGTCAGATTCTGAAAGGAGTATTCAGAAACTGTTTTATCAAGTTCTCCAGGTAAATGATGCTTAGTACAATTTGAGAAGCACTTTTTAACACCATATAATGATCACCTTTCCATTAAAAAAAAGCCTTCATAGCTTTATTTACTCTTAAACTTTCATTGTTAGAGTATAAATACAGAAAGTACACAAACTTAAGGGCAGAGCTCAGTGCATTTTCACAAAGTGAAGCGATCTGTATAGTAGGGCTCAGATCAAGAAAAAAAAATTGCCTATACCCCTGCCTTCTAACACTATTAATTTCCCCAATTTTAAGCTTATGCATATAAAATCATACAGTAAGTACCTTTAAGTTGGAAAGAACCCAGCGTAACTCCAAGGATAATTGGCTGGTCAAATACCACAGACCTGTATCTCTGGAACAAATAATACATTATATGTTAAAAAAAAAAAAAAGAAGAAGATAGTAGGAAGGGAGTAATGAAGGGGGGAAAATCGGTGGGGGAGAGGAACCATGAGAGATGATGGACTCTGAGAAACAAACTGAGGGTTCTAGAGGGGAGGGGGGTGGGGGGATGGGTTAGCCTGGTGATGGGTATTGAGGAGGGCACATTCTGCATGGAGCTCTGGGTGATATACGCAAACAGTGAATCATGGAACACTACATCAAAAACTAATGAGGTAATATATGGTGATTAACATAATAAAATTTTAAAAAATGAAAAAAAGAAAAAAATACATTTGTAACATTTGCCAAAATAGGATGACTGAAAGGGGGAGGAACAGGGAGGGAGAGGATTCGAGAGCAAAAAGAGATCCGTGAGGCAGCCTTGGGTTAGGAAAAGAACAGCTCTGGAGTCTGAAACTTTGTTTCAAGTGGCAACTCCATCATTTGGAGCTATTAAGTAAATTACTTTTTCTGAGCCCCAGGATCTATGTAATTCCTACTTTGGTAACCTGTAGGAGAATTAAGTATTTACGTATGTTAAACTCAAACTAGACACACAATTAAAAAATCTTTGAATCTGCTGAAGGCCCACAATGGATACTACGCTGTGTGCATGAAATGGGTGAAATCTAGGGCTTGCTCTCAATCAGATCGTAATCCAATCTTCCAGTCGTCAGGAATAGAATTTTCTGAGATCTCTGACCGTTGGAAATTTGAACGTAAGGTGACCTGGCTGACATCATAATCCATTTCTGTTCTCATAACACATGTTCAATATTGATTTAATATAAATCTTCTGATATTTTAGGTTCTATAAAAATGTCATCTAAATCAGATGTAGCGCCTGCAGGAGTCACCATATAAAAATACATCGCTTTTATAAATATCGTTTGTTGTGTAGGTGAAGATAGCAGCAAATATTTTACAGTATTTTACTCTTACCAAAGGAATCAGAAAATAGGAACGAGCATCAAAAACTTGTATCTTAGGATCAACTTCAATTTTTCGGGTTCCAAGAGGAAGTTTTTAAGATGGGACTCCTTTAGTTGGCAAAAACGCATGAACAGGGCTTACTACTGGAGCAGGTATCTCATTTCGCAAACAGGCTCAGAGAAGAGTCCAAATTTATTCTGGAAATAGATGGAGGCTCACACATCAATCCATAGCCTTCCATCTTTCTACACACCGCTAACACCCACCTCTTCTCACGAATTTGATCGCTCGCTGCACAGGCGCAGCAAGTGAAAGATCTGGCAGAATTAAACCCCCAGCTGCGTTGGAGTTTATGTCACTTTCCCCTCTAAATTTATCTGGTCTCTAACTTCCCGGAAACGCCCCCCGACTACGCACCCCGCGCTGCCCCCACAGGAAAGCACCCACTTGCTAGGTTCCCACGCTCCCGAAGGCAGCGGGAGGCGCCCAAAATTTGTAGGCACGACTGCGCAAGCGCCCAAGTTCCACGCATGCGCCGCAATTGCGCGCATGCTCAGAGGCGGAGGCCGGCGGCGTCCTGGGAGGGTAGCGGAGGCCGGTCTGCCCCGCCCCCGCGCTCCGTGCCCGGCGTCCCTTCCGCGCGCCCACGGGCAGCTTCCCTTTCCAGGAGCGCAGGCAGCAGCCGCCGGTGTCTGGTTCTTTTCCGTGGCTTTTGCAGCTCTTCTGCAGCAAGCATGGCAGCTGGGAGACGCGGCGCCGGCCTGCGGCTCTGCGCCACAGGTAAGGGCCGCGCGGGGACGATGGGAGCGGGCGCGGGGACCCTCTGCCGGGCGGGGTCGAGCCTGGACGGGGCTCTCCCGCCAGGGTGCAGAGAGGCTCTGGGATCCTCCGAGATACCCCCCAGCTTCTGGGTCCTCCCCCCAGCCGGCTGTGCCCGGGACCAGTGCCAGAAAAAGATGCGCCTGTCTTCCATTTGGTTCTGTGCTTGGTGTGGCAGGAAGTTTCAGTAGCGCTGACTCCACCGAAAGGGTGAAGGCTCCACCACCCCAGCTTGTGGCCAAACCTTGCTTTGGCTTTAGGTTCCGACTCCTGGCACGTCCGCAGAATTTTTACCCACCCGGGGGTATGGCCGAGGACAGGTCATGATCAGGTCGACGGATTGTGAAGTGTGAAAAGTGATCAGAGTAGGTGGCGGCCTTTCTCAGCCTCCTCTTGCCAGCATCGCTTGCCCTGGTCCTCCCTGTGGTGTGTTCACTTGCTCAGCGCCCCTTGGTTCCCCCTACGTGCCCGGCTGTGAGAACTGTTAGTGTTAGACATGTAGCTCAGTTGTGTTTCTACCTACTAAGTTGGGGGGAAAAAAACAAAAACAAAAAAACCCAGTATTTTGAATGGCAGTTGGAGTTTATACAGAGGAGGAGATCATTACTACTGGAGAAATACGGAACGATTTCTGTGTTAAAAAAGAAAAAAGATGGGATGGCAAAAAGGAAAAAAATGACGAGAGTAAGAACATGTTGAAAGAGAACCTGTGTGTTTCCGAATCACTAGCCTACATAAACCTTGCCGGTGGTCGTATAGGTAGGTGCCTGCAGAGTGAACATTTAGTAAAAGGATGAACTACATATGCCTATGCATTGTTTGTGCCTCGGAATGATCAGTGATGGATTTTATGGTAGGTTGTAAAACATCAAAAACATTTTGTAGATGACTAAGCATGTAGTGTGAAACAGTAAAGTCAGCATTTACTGTAAACATTTTGTCCTTTTTTCCTTTTTTTCCAGTTTTTTTACTTGATATGGCTTTCTGTAAAGGATTTGTAGAAGATTTAGATGAATCGTAAGTATATGTGTATTTTAAATGGCATCTTAACTTCTTTAAACTCTGGTGTTATCTAAATGTTTCAGTGAATCTATTTTAATAATAGAGACCGTAATGACCAGTGTTTATATGGCACTAATTTTGTTTCAGAAGTTGTCCTGAGTGCAATATATATGTACAAAATGGGGTTGTACTCAACAGAGTTTACTAACAGTTCCATATTCTGTTTTATCATTTTTCATTATATTTGTTAGCTTTTTTGCGTATATCATGATTGAGCAGGTGCTGGACTTTAGTAACCGTACTTTATATTTGTTTTTATAGTACCATAGCGTTAATCACAAAGCCTTGCTTATAGTAGGTAAGTAGGTGAGGAGTCCAGCTCCAGACAGACCAAAATCCTACGTGTGATCTTTCAGGCCTGACCACAGGCAATTACAAGGCTTCCTGGCAGGCTTTGGGCGGTGAGGCTGCTCTCCCCACACTAGACTTGGTGCACAGTGCATTGCAGTCTCTGGAGGGAGTTGTAATCATAGACTAAGGCCCCTAGGCTAGCCAGGCTCACATGCATATCTAGCATGCGCAAGTTGCCTCTTTTGGAGGCCTCCTTGTTGGGGGCCTCACCTGGGGCACTTCTAGGCATCTCTGCTGAGACCTCCTTATCTAGCGGGTTGGCAGAGGCACTTTTCTTGGCTTGGACTCAGGACTTTTCTGCTCCTGTCCCTTTCCCTCTTTCCTTCTCCTGCCCATGGGTTCATAAAGAGGCAGAAGCCCTTGGATGCTCCTCTGTAGTGAGGTGGATTCTTTTGTCTATGTTGCATCCACCTGACCCTCGCCTGGTACTGTTCCACTCGGAAAAATGGAACATTGAGGAGCTGGCACCCTTTTTCTTTTTTATTTTTTGCCTGTTGGCTTATGTTGTCACAGTAAGTGAATAAAGACTTGGTTATTACTTTCAGTTTGGCTTGTTGTCCTACTTAACTGCCTGTACACAACAAAACTGGTACAGTAGTAGGGTGGTCATGTGAGCACAGTGCTGTTCTGGAAGAGTAGAAATCCTGAGGATCCCAGGGGGCACTGCCCACCAAAGACTGGACGCGATGAAGACTCACAAGTGACAGTGTGGCTGGGCTGTTAACGTAGGCAACATACAAGGACCTAATTCCTGGCCCTGATCTGGGAAGCAGTATAACATCCATTCCAGAGGAGATTGTTACCAAACTTTTGACCTTTTTTGACCCAAAAAAATTAAACAAAAAAGCAGCCCAGGGATTGTGGGCCTATGTGGCTACTGGTGCTGTCACACAGCCCTGTGGGGATCTTGCTGGCACCCTTCCATCAGGTTACCGAAGGGCTGCTGCTCTTGAGAGGGGCCCCAACCCACAGGATGCCCTGAAGGCCCTCCAGCGGGCCACCAAGCCGCCCCTCTCCTGAGCCCCACTGGTCCACCTCTGCCATTTGAATTACCCCATGTCAGCAAACTTTCAGTTCACTGATCAGAGCCTGAGGCAGGATGACAACACTGCAGGCCAGCACAGACCAGTCATGGGCTGAAAGATCCACTCCCTTTGAGAGGCAGTTACTGGCCTTGGATGAGTGCGGCAGTAGGCTCATATGCAGAACTTTGTCACGTTGCTGAATAGGGCCAGCTCTGGGTCTCTAGTGAAGTGGAAATGGAAGTCATAGGAGCCCATCTGGAGTCTTGCAACTCCATGAAAAGGTCTCATGAGTACCCCTCCACCTGAGGAATAACACCAAAGGAGGCATTGCCTCCTCTGGCCCATTGGGGACCCAGACAGACCTCTAGGGCCACCCATGGGCCTGGTCACTAATGGCCCCTGTGGGTTAACTTGTAAGAATTGGGTGTGGCCCCTATGCTGCAAAAGGAAACATAACCAATGAGCATATCATGCTTTTAGCTCAGTGTGGAAACTGAATTGTTCTCCACACCAGAGCAAGCAGGTGCACAATCAGTTGCCTCCTGGATCCACAGGAGTATGGCCCGTGGAGATTCAGATACCGTCCTAATGGGGTGGCAGGACGTGGGCCGCCACTGTGGTGAGAAGACACAGAAACAGCATGAAAGAGCCGTCCCACTTGTCAGACCCTGGTCAAGGCTAAAACTACTGCCCCTAAACAGTTTCCTTCAAGTGCATGGGCTAGGGCATTCTCAGCAGATACAACAGGCTGGGCCCCTTTTGCCATCGATCGTGTTTCAGTGGATCTCAGTGATATCAGTTGACACTTTCTTTGGGTTTCGCCTAGCCATTTCCACGCATTCCACAGACTCCAGCCACACTCTCCAGGCCCTGCAAGACCACATTTGTTTCCTTTTCAGGTTCCCTGAGAACACTGTATCTGATAACAGTCCTGGAATTTATGCTCAAGCTACCCATCCGTTGGCCCAGTCATGGGCATACAGCAGACTCTCCGTGCTCCATATCACCCCTAATCCACAGGGGTACTTGAGCATTTTAATGAACATTTGAAGTATGGGCTTAATCAACTGATGGGAGGGGACAGGATTACCCCAGCCTGGACTATACATCTCGGGCCTGGGTCTCAATGCAGCCATCCCCAATCAGGTACTTTGCCAGGTTATCTGTCCCCTTCCTTCAATTTGACCATTACTGACTCTATAGTCCCTGTGGGGGACCCTATAAAGGACTTCCATACCAACTCCTTCCCGAAGACTGATATCAGTCGGAGATGAAAATGGCTATTAAACACCAAGGACTGGGAGATCGTAACCTCCTGCATTTGCCCCTGGGTGCAGAGTCTGAGTCTTTGCCTCAAGAGCAGTAATGTACAGTATGCACAGTAGAACTTTTATTAAACATGAGGGGAGCAAAGGCAGAAGATTTGGGTTTACCAACCTGGGGGATCGATTAAGGGTGTTATCCTTGCCCATGGTTCAGGACAGACTGTGTCACAGCTGGACAGATGTGAGTGCTGTTGGACTGAAGAGCTCAGATACTGGACATGTGTTCTCTTTGTCTTTGTAGATTCAAGAATCTTAACTAAAATATCCCCATAAAGAACTTTTGTCACTCATTCAGTATAGATTAAATATAGGTCACTGTGCAAGGTACTAAGAGATGAAATAAGCATAATTATTGTTGGATAATATGTAAATACAATGTGTGAAAACTGATAAGAATCCTAAAGAGGACAAAGATGATGTGGAGAGATTGTTTCTAGCTGTGAGGAATTTAGGAAGGCATTATGGAGTAAGAAATGCTTTTAGCTGGATAGGATGTGAACACGAAAGAATGTAGAAAGTCAAATAAACATTGTGAATTTAGCTGTGTTAAATACCATGAGTTGATTGGGAATCATAGGATGCTTATATTTGAGTGGAAGGATAAGTTGGGGCCAGCACATGAGTACATGTAGCAATTTATACTTCTTTTTGTAGGTGGTGGAAGGGCACCTAGAAGGTGTCAAATAAGAGAAACATGATCAGATGATCAGAACCGTGTTTTAGGAAAATTCTTTGTAAGCTCTTGTGTCAGGGGGTCCCCAAAAGCACTCCCAGGCTTGGTTATTGACGAGGAGCACTCAGAGGACTCAGCCTATTGTGGAAGTCACAGTTATGATTTATTGCAGTGAAGGGGCACACGGCAAAACCAACAAAGAGAAAAGCCAATGTGGGTAAATTCCAGAGGAAACCAGGAACAAGTTCCAAGAGTCCTCTCCTACTAGAGTCACATAGGATGTGCTTAATTCCTCCATCAGGAGTTGGGACCACATGTTTGACATGTTCTCTACCAAGGAAGCTCATTAGAGACTCAGTGCTTAGGGATTCTTATTGGGGGATGGTCATGTAAGGACCTTCCTGCCTAGTCTATACCAAAATTTCAGATCCTGGAAGGAAAGCAGATGTTCATCATAAAACCACTTTGTTTGCACGGTGTTGGAACAGTGAGCTATCTTATTAGGAAAAGGTGGAAACCCTCCTGAAATTCAAGTTCCCGGATACCAACCAAGGGCCAGTCTTGGAAGCAGACCTTTTTAAGGATAGCAGTGTCAGTTTAGCTATGCTAACTGTAATGCACAGGAGTAAATGGAATAGAGGGGCTGGGAGCTGAGGCCTCTATCTGTGTTTCTACCAAGTCCCACTTAATTTTTTTTATTTAATTTTTTTAAAGATTTTATTTATTTCAGAGAGCGAGAGAGAGAGAGCATGAGCAGGGGGAGCTGCAGAGGGAGAGGGAGAAGTAAGACTCCCCGGCCAAGCAGGGACCCTGATGCGGAACTCAATCCCAGCACCCTGGGATCAGGACCTGAGCCACCCAGGCGCCCCATTTTTTTTTTTTTTTAATTTTGTACTTCTGATTATCAGTTCTCTACTTTTTAAAAGATGTTTAATGGATAAGATTTAGAGGTCACTTAGTAAAAATTTTACATAAAAACTTGTTGAATTTGTTCCATGCTCCAGTATTTATCAGTTTATCAGCCCCACATATTGTAAAGTAGAAACAAACATACAATCAGAGATTTGTTTTCTCATGTTTGTTTTTTAGGTTTAAAGACAATCGGAAAGATGACATTTGGCTTGTAGATGTGAGTATGTAAATTTTTGTACTAATTAACTACCCCTGCCGTTTTAAGAATTATTTTCTATTCTCCTCCACACATATATGGTAATATATGGTTAGTGTTTCTGTATATTATTCCGTTTTTGTCACGTAGTGTTATGTAGGTTATTATATTAAAATGAACCTCAGAGCCTTAAGGTTCCTGGCAGGGAAACCTGTTTTTGCTGAAATTCTGAAGAGGTCGACATATGGATTATGTCTGAGGGCGACTGTGGTATGATTTAACTACAAAATTCACTCTTCTTTTTTTCCTGTTATGCAAAAAATTATTTGTGTTATTATCACTTGACAATAAAAATCTTATATTCATCTTAATGGGGAACAAAATCAGATTTTCATCTTACTTCCTTTTTTCACTTTCAAGTTTAGAATGTATTTAAACCTCATGTTGTTTGGGATTCCTTTTACCTTGTCTCAGTAAAAATGTTGTAGAGTGGCAGCAAAAGAGATGGAATGAGAATAGCAGAGTTGACAGTTGCTGAAGCCAAATGATGGAGCATGAGAGTCCATTGTTTAATTCTTCCTCTCTCCTTTTGTGCGTGTTTGAATATTTCCATAATATAATGTTAAAAAAATAGATGAATCTTATTTCATGAAAGTACAACAAGCAGTTTGTTACACCATTTTACTAGAGGAACCTATTTCCACCTCAGCCCTCTGGTGATCCTGAAGAAAAAGGAACTGTGGTTTTAGTTTAATCAACCTGACTTGTCTCTATGCCAAGCCAGTCATCTTAGTGACCCCCCTTGTCTACCAGCAGTTATGCTTAAAGTAGCAAAGGTACCTACTGTGTTGGGGTTTTTGTAATAGAAATAGACTGATGTTCATCATGAACGCTTAAGAGGTGTGTGTGTGTGTGATGTATGTGTATTCATTTTATATATGACATAGACTGACTTTGAAGCAAAGCTGTTTTTATTGTAAATTATCTGTTTTAAATAGGAATAAGTAGTCATTTTAAATGAACTTAAGGTAATATCAGTGTTGAGGTATATGCTAGGAGTTAAACTAATTAGATTTGTGGTGTGTGTGTTTTGCCTTTTATTATGAAACTACTTCAGAAATTATATTTAGACTTTTTATCTGAAATGAACTCATCAGATCACTTATTCTAAGAGAGTTTTTAAAAATTAAGATTGATATACACAATAGCACAATATTTTAGTGGTTGTCTTTTCTTTTTCCCCCAACAAGTTTTATGCACCATGGTGTGGCCATTGTAAAAAACTGGAACCGATTTGGAATGAAGTTGGTCTTGAGATGAAAAGTATTGGTTCTCCAGTTAAAGTTGGAAAGATGGACGCTACCTCCTATTCCAGTAAGCATTTACTCAGTTTATTATTTTACTGTTCTCATAGTGAAAATGATTTACTTAACATGAAGCAGTATTCAAGGTAGGAGGAAGAAATACTTATTTTTTGTTCAGGTAAATTAAGGTTATCTTAATAATTAAAGATTGTATACTTCATGCGTTAAGTGATTTAGCCATCAAATGCGTGATATGCAGTGTATGTTAATCTTCTGCCTAACATGTATGCATAAGCCATTGTTCCTACTTTGAGCCTCCTTGGGAGATATGCTGTTTACCTGAGGCAACTACAGAAATTTGAGTGTCAAACAGTTGATGCTGCTGTGTGAATTCAGAATGAGAGTTGTTGTCTGAGTAGCCAGAGATGATGTGGTAGAGAAGGAGATGGAGACCTACAAGATGAGTTAAGATAGAAAAGATACAAGGGAGGACCAGGAAAGTATTCACATTAGAGAGAATATTACAGCAAAACCTTAGAGTTGAAAATGAGAATAGGATGTCCTGAAGCAGAGGTTGGCAAACCAAAGCCTGTGGACAGAATCTGGCCCACTGCCCATTTTTGTAAATGGAGATATACCTGCACACATTCTCACTCATTTGTTTACTGTTGTCTGTGCCTGTTTTCATGTTCCACTGGAGGAGTTGAGGAGTTTCAACAGAGACTGTTTTCCCCACAGTGCCTAAGATATTTGTTATCTGACCTTTTCCAGGGAAGTTTACCAATGCGTATCTTAAAGGATTTGAGAAAAGAAGAATTTAAGTTTAGAGAAATATGAAGTATCATAGAAATTTGGAAAGAGCATGGCTTCAGAAAGCAGACCTGATTTCAAATCCTGCTTCTGCCTGCTACTTTTGCCATGTAAAATGGGGAAAGTTTCTTAACATGTCTTAAGTTTTGATGTCTGCATTGGTAAATATTTGTCATGTGGCTTTCGTTGGTTTTTTTGAGATTTGAATGATGTAGCACATGTCAAGTCCCTTATAGTATTCAATACATGTAGGTTCCCTTTTCCTTTAATCAATGAAGAAAGTGGAATTGTGTAATATACATTTCTTTTTAGGAAATCAGGATTATACTCAGGATACAGCTTTGGAAAAGGACAGGCCTATGGTTTTTTTGTTTGTTTGTTTTTATTTTGTTTTTGTTTTTTAAAGATTTTATTTATTTATATGTTAGAGAGAGCATGCACACAAGCAGGGGGAGTGGGAGAGGGAGAAGCAGGCTCCCTGCTAAGCAAGGAGCCTGACACGGGGCTCGATCCCAGGACGCTGGGATCATGACCTGAGCCAAAGGCAGATGTTTAACGGACTGAGCCATCCAGGTGTCCCAGGATAGACCTATGTTTTAATCCCAGATTTCCCATGTGCCTACTTCTGGGGCTTTGAGAAAGGCCTTAACCTCTCAATTTTAGTTTCTATGTCTGTAAGTGGGAGAGTAATAATCCTGAAGGTTGTGAGGATTGTATTAACATTTCATATTCAAAATCCCTTGCACAGTGGCTAGCGCACCTAAGATGAAGTATAAGACCAGATTTTAGAGGTCTGTCACGTCATGGTGTTTTAGATTTTATCAGTTGTCAATTGAGAAGTAATGGACATTTTTGAGAAGCAGTTGACTTGATAAAAATGTTTTTGGCAGCAACATGTACGATGCAAAAGAAAAGCAATTAGAGACAAGAAAATCATGTAGGTCAGTTTTTGTATGCATCTTGGTGTAGGATGCTAAAAGCCCAGACTTGGTAATGACAGTGGAGTGAAGAGGACATAGTAGTCCTCACAGACATCTTCAAGGATGAAATCACAGCCATGATAGACTGGCTCTGTAGTATAAAGAAAAACAATCAAAAGTAATAGTATAAGATTTTTAGCATAGTTACTGAACTACACCACTACAGGTTATATGGAAAAGAGTAAGTAATTTTCTGTGTGTTTCCATGTGAGCAGCTGCTGTGAATTTATGGTACTTGGCTTACTGATGTTTGGGAACAGGGAACTAGAGAGCAGTTACCTGTGAGGCTGGAATTGCAGTCAAACAAATAAGTTGTTAAAACTCTGAGAGGAGACCAGAGCAATGGCAGGAATTACTGTAGACGGAGATTGATTTCCTGAAATAAGCTTTTAACAATGTTTGAGAAATTATTGCTTTCAACTGTTGCTCCTGAAAGTAAGCTCTCGTGTCTAGGAAATCTGGTGTCAATTGTGTGTTGATTAGACCTGCGTGTACCTGTGTTCATTCACATTGTCAACTGTATTCACCTCAGTGTGTTTACTAACTAGCGTATTAGTCTCTAGAGATTAAAGGAAGACCAGAACAAATCCTTCTTGTCCAGGAAATGCTTGGTCCAATAGGAGGAGAAATACGAATAAACCAACAGGTAGAATAAAGTCTCAAACATAGCAAATTCTTGTGATCATTTGAGTCATTTAATGGAGTCATAAAGTAAAATAATGTATAAAGGCGTGTGGGTATATAAAGATAAATAATCAGTAAAAAAAAAAAAATAGTACCTACAAATCCAGCAAAAACTTTAATGGTAAGCTGCTCATGTGATGCTACAGTGAAACAACGGTTTACATTAAGTCCATTCTTTTTATAGTATCTAATTCATTAGCTTACTATTCTGTATGTACTAAGTGCCTGTGTGCGTCACTATTAAGTGACACTATGTTTAGGGGAAAAATAGCTAAGACTTCTTTCTGAGTAGCTTAGAAAAGAAAATGCTTTAAATGTTGTGATTAAAGTGCAATGTTCTTAAAGGTGTTAAGACTTCATATATGGTTTGTAGCTTTTTAGGTACTTTACGATGGGACTCTTTTTCATCCCGTTATTCATAATCCACTAAGAGGTTTAAATTTTTGCCTCTGATCTGTGACTGTTACAGATTTATTGTTCATTTAGCATCGTGTTATGTATCATGTTGAATTAATAGGAAGAAACCTCTGTAGAGCATGCAGAGCACATTATCTCAAGCAAACCATCTAGCTTTGGGAAAAGGGATAGGGGAGCTGGTATGTGAGGATGATCCTCTGCCAAGTACTGTGACGGGTGCTTCCTATACTTTATGTCCTTTGCTCCTTGGATGTGCGCTGCTAAACCCTCCACCCCCTTTCCCAAGCTACATGTAATGTTTGCTTGTAAATCTTTGTGACTGTTTGCATCATACAAACGTAGCCTATTGAAAAATCATTCTTTTGTCAAAAAGTTGTAGAGTCAGTATTCATTCAGTGGGTATCTCATGAGCCCTTAACTATACGCCAGAATGTACCAGGCACATTCTAGGCATCATGATGCATCAGTGACCAAAACAGACAATAATTTCTGCTCTCATGGAGATTGTGTTCTAGAGGGGAGAGACACACAATAAAAACATAAGTAAATTGTTACGTTACTTAGTGTTTGATGTCAGCGACGGATGCATTTTCTACTTTACTGTAGAATCAAGGAGATGTTTTATGTGCTTATGGAGAAAAATATTACCTTCCTAGTATTTTTTTTTTAAAAAGGCGTATTTAAAAACTACTGTCTGGAGATTGTACAAATAAATTTTGGGCATATAATTCTTAAAGTTTTTTAAATACCTCAAGGCAGCTCCATTACAGGTGTTTTAGTAGAAAAAGGTAAAGAAATTGAATTCTTTTCTCAAACTAGCTGTCAACATTATTCTATGTCTAACTGTAGATACTGAAGGCTTGGCTGTTTCCTATGTATTTCATCCATCTCCATAGGTCACTTTTCAGGCATTTGCAGCATCAGTGTATCTCAGCATTTAGTCTGCAGACCACCTGCATTAGGATTACCTGGGCTGTTCACTGTAAATTTAGACTCTGAAGACCAACATCAGCCCTACCCAATGAAAGTCTTTGAGACTGGGTCATGAGAATCTGTATTTTTAACGTGGACTCCAGGTAATTCTGCTGCACGTCTAAGTTGGAGAACCACAGAATAAAGTATTCCGGTGAATAGTTATTTATATGATTGGGCTTGAGGTGGGATAGGATTATTCAGTGATCAAGTATGAGAAATCTCTTGAGTATTTGAGGTCGTGTAAGTGCAGAGATTGGAAGTGCATGCCCCCACACTCAGTCCAACACATCTCTGTGTCCAGAATTCGTGAACCAGAGAAATTTGAACTCTCATGAATTACCCTGTGTGTTTGGAATTGGATCAGAATTTTCTTGATGCATGGTTTTAACTGATAATGCTGTAATCGGCATAAAAAAACCCTGTATAAATGTAGGTATTTTAGCCTCTCTCTCTCTGTACATACTCCCTCCCACAGTCAGGTACGAGAATTGTTTCTCGTTTGTAAAATACGTTACGGTGCCCCGTGTGATGTCTGTTTTGAAACCACTGAAATCCTGCTTATTCCTCAACGTAAGTGTGATACTTATTTTATGTTAAAGGCCAAAACTTACTTCTCGTTGATGTGTAAACTTGGAATGACATTTGGCCAGTAACATTCTCATTTCTTGCTCACAGATTATATTGGCAGATTAGTTTTATCTTTCTTTCTAAATTATAAGCTCTCTTTGGCCAGTGATTATATCTCAGTGTTGCTCAGTCTTGGCACTAAGGATATTTTGGGCCAAATAATCCTTTGTTTGGGGGGAAGGGTTGCTGTGCATTGTAGGATATTTAGCTAGCAACATCCCTGATCTCCACCCACTAGATACCAGTAACAACCTTCTGCCCATCCCACTGTCCCCCAAAGTTATGGCAACCAAGAATGTCTCTAGACATTGCCCAGTGTCTCCTGGAGGGCACAATCTACCCCAATTGAGAACAGCTGCTGTATTTTACATCCTCTTCCTGTTAGACACATAGTAACACTCAGTAAATACTAAGAGTCTCATGCTCTACCGACTGAGCTAGCCGGGCAACACTCAGTAAATACTAAGAACAATACTATTTTGAGCTGAAAACGACTTCACATTAATTACAGCTCCTCCTTCTTCCCCCTGCCCATTGTGCAGATGAAGAAACAGCAGGTAGTTAGCAGTGAAATGACTGAGTAATTTCAAACACCAAAGTTAGAGGTAGATTTAGGACCAGAGTCTGAGATCACGTAATTCACATCCAAGCCTAGCTGTACCATCAAGTTGTTATCATTTCAAGGAGAAAACAGGAAATAAGGGCCTCATTTTATGAGCATTTAAAATTACGAAATTTCATGTTACAAATGCATTCTTGAATTTGTGAAGGAATTGATCTCAGGTTTCTATGCAAACCATTGTTTTCTCTTTTTTTTTAAGATTTTATTTATTTATTTGAGAGAGAGAGAATGAGAGAGAGCACATGAGAGGGGGGAGGGTCAGAGGGAGAAGCAGACTCCCTGCCGAGCAGGGAGCCCGATGCGGGACTCGATCCCGGGACTCCAGGATCATGACCTGAGCCAAAGGCAGTCGCTTAACCGACTGAGCCACCCAGGCGCCCCAAACCATTGTTTTCTAATATGAAAAAATAAAGAACTAAAAGTTAAAGTCAGACTTAAGCTTCATTCATAGTCCTGCTACCTTGTCAGTGCTTGCATTCAAACAAGTTACCAAGTCTAAGTATCAGTTTCTTTACCTGAAAAGTAGTAATAGTATCCTTCTCCTGCTCACAGAATTGTCTGGAGGTATAGTTGAAGGTCTGTTAAAGTCAGCTATGAAATACTTTACATGTGATAGTTCTTATTATACATACACTGATGTGTCTGCAGCTTACTACTTAACAGTGAGATCAGGATCAGAAATAGAAAGGAATTGGACCTAGCATTTGAGGATCTCTGTGTTCCAAGCTCTCTCTCAGATTCTTTTCCACATGTTTTCTCATTTTAAAATCCTGCCCATAAGCTGAAGAAAATGAGTGCCGTCCTCAGAAGGGAAAGAGCTGCCTAGATGATAAATTAGAAGTTGGAATTCTAACCTACATCATTTTACGTCTATAACCCATGCTTTGCTTGTGTGCTTTATATATATGTTTGTGTGTGTGTGTGTGTGTGTGTGTATAACTGTTTTCCTAGGGAAACCTAAATGTAAGGTTTTAGGAGTCACCGCCAGTTGAAATTCTATCAAAAATGAAGTTTAATGCTCAAGGAGTCAAGGTATAATAGAGTGGGTGGTATTATATATCTCCATCTTAGAGAGATCCTGTGGCGTTAAATGTGGAGCTGGGATTTTTTTCTCTGAAACCTGTTTTGAGAACCACCACTGTATTTTCTCATTGATTGCATATTTTCTTTATTTGATTTGTTTATAAAAAAGCTTCACAATAAATTAAACAAAGAACTGATAGATATGCCTCCCCCCTCCCCCCGTCAATTATATTAGTCTTAGTTGAAGGTAATTAAGGGCTGATGTTTTCCTGCCTCCTTAATTTGGGAAGGGGGCATTAAGAACATCTTTTACTCACATAATCCCCCCAAATCATTTTTGTATTTTTACTCAGAAGTCAATCTCAATAACTACAGTGTGCAATTAGAGTCTATTGGACAGAATTAAATCCTACATTACAGATGGGCACAAATAAATTATATAATTGGTTTAAGTTCACATAGCTATTCAGAGGCAGGACCTTTATCTTCAGAACCTGAGTTATTTCTGTTATCTCTACTGTTTGTGTTGCTTCTAATAAAAACCAGTGTTGATCAGTGTCCAGAACCTTCCAGTCACCTTTCTCTATATGTTTAAGGGAGAAACTCTATTGATGACGAAGGAAGGCTAAGAGATTTTGACTATTAATTTTGCCACAAATTCACTTTGTCATCATTCTTGTGTAGTGGGCGGTGCTAAGAAACCAGAGTAATGACTACTAAAGTGATTGGTAAACCAGAACTCACGTAGAGTAGTGTCCTTATACCCAACTATGGTAAAATGTCCTCGAAATAAATAAAATTAACAAAGGGAGAGATCGTAGGAACAAATACATTATAGTTTACTTAAACTGGTGTATGTGTAAATATATTGTATATTGTCTCTTAACTGAGATGGTTTCATTTCTTTGCTGTTCTAGTTGCCTTGAATTTGTAAAGTAGGAAGGTATATTTGCAGTAGTGATTTCTGTACCTCTTAAAGTCCTAATTCTCTATTTGATTGTTTTTGTTTCTTCTTTCCCTCAAAAAAGATGCCACTGTAGCAACTGTATCTCATTTTAATTAACATGAGGACTTCAGAATAATCTTTGAAAATAACTAGAATTTTTCTGGGTTATTACAAAAGCAGAAACTTCTAAAACAAGTAGATAAAGTTGCTTTTAGATCATGTATTGACTGCAGAAATTAAGTAATTTTGCAAATACAATTTATCTTTTTAAAATTAAAATAGAATGCAGTTCTTTTCAGACTCAGAAAACACTAAAGGAAAGGATGGGCTTTGCTTTTTATGTTGTTGTTTTTTATTTATTTATTTATTTTTACTTATTTTTGCGGAACCAATGAGACCTAGAAAAAAAATATTTGTCCTGGAAAATGAAATCAAATGACAAGTGAGACTTATATATATATATATATATATTTTTTTTTTTTTTTAACAAGAATATCTTAAAATAAGTACTTCAGGGATAAAATTTTAACTATTCTTTTGGCATTTATTTCTTAGTCATAGTGTTTTGTGTGGCCATAGGCTGGATTATTAAGTAATTGTTTTGTATGAGAATGTCATGTTTTTTCTTTTTTGTATGTGAATTTATATTCTTTTTTAAGGCTTGAAAACAACACATCTTTATGGGTTTGTATAAATATATATATTTTTTTAAGTAAAAGGCTCATTTACTACCTAGTTTCTCATTTTTAAAAAAAATTTAGAATTATTTATTCTTTTTCTTATCAAGGCATTGCTTCAGAGTTTGGAGTTCGAGGTTATCCAACAATTAAGCTGTAAGTTGAGTGTTGTATGTTTATATGTGTATTTTTATTAGTTCACTCTACTTACGTTTTATTACATTAATTTCTAGTAGCATCCTTGGAGGATTGCAGATTTGGGTTCAGCAATTCTTTCTAGGTGCAGTATGTGATCAAAGGAGAGGGACTGCATCTTCCTGCTTTTCTTGGTATTTAAGTGAGTGTGTTGTTTACGGCTAATTCACTAAATGCGCTCTGAGTGCTCACTGCGTGGCAGGCATCCTGCCGGACAAGACGTACAGCTGTAAAGTATGAAAGGTCTTTTACCCTTGAGGAGCTCAAGAGTGTATTCTGCTGTATCATGTGAATCCTGTCTCCTAACAAATTTTACTTTTCTATCATTGAAATACACTTATTTCATTAGAGAGGAAAGAAACAAACAGAATCAAATTGATGGATTTAATTCTAATCTGTAAGTGTTGGCAAAGTCTAATATAAAGCGTATATAAGTTGGGAGAAATGGTGTGCTCATTCTAAAGGATTTATTTCATAATCATAATTTTATTGAATTTTCTCTTGAGTTTCATCCTTATTTTGATAATGTGCGAGTTGAGGAATTATTTTGAAACTTATTTTTATAATTGAGTTTTATTTCAGTGTTTTAAAATCTCAAATTTCAAAATTTGGCTAATTTTAATTCTTTATTTCTTGGGTTTTGTGTTGACGTCCCTCCTTCCCTACTTTTAAAAAATCTTGTTAAGCCTCTTTTACTTGGGTTAAGTAAATTATCCTTTCTGTTCTTTTTTGTTTGATTTTAGATGTTCTCTTGTCCTTTCACATTTTTTTTTAAATCTCAGTTGGATTAAAAGATAAATAAATAAATAAAAATAAATCTCAGTTGGATACATCATTGACAGGCTTTTTGAAAATTATCTTAATTTTATAGAATAGGTGTTTTATGCCTTGTTCTACTCTATAATCTTGGAGCATCTTTCAAGTTCCTATGATGTTGTGTTGCTTAAAATTTGTTTTCCCTCTACCGAAATACTATGAATTCCGTCTCATTTTTTAAACTAGAGAAGATAGTGAGAATTATGCTTTGATAAGCTCTTGACCATGAATGTGCAGATTATGCACTTTTCAGAAGCATAGACACAATGCAACTATTAGATACAAAGTAAACTATTTTCATGTAATTTTAATTAAAATACAGCCTTTTTCTTTATATTTTGAGTTGTTGGTCCCCTGTAGCCAGTTGCCTACTGTATTTCACATGGTTATGCTACTTCTGAAACAAGTCTGCATTTACTATTTTATATACTATAATTTTATATAACAATACTGATTAGCATTGACTCTTAAAACAGTTGAAATAATCTAAGCTTCTATCCTTTTTTTTTTTTTTCTTTTTAAGATTAAAGGGGGACTTGGCATATAATTACAGAGGACCACGAACTAAAGATGATATTATTGAGTTTGCTCACAGAGTGTCTGGGTAAGTTTTTATTGGGAAAGGCTTTTACTATGTAATTACTAATATTTTATAGCAGCAATGTCCACAGTAGCCAAAATATGGAAAGAGCCCAGATGTCCATCAACAGATGAATGGGTAAAGAAGAGGTGGTGTGTGTGTATATATATATATGTGTATATATATATATATATATATAATCGAATGTTACTCAGCCATCAAAAGAATGAAACCTTGCCATTTGGAATGCCATGGATGGAACTAGAGAATATTATGTTAGTGAAATAAGTCAGTCAGAGAAAGACAAATACCATTTTCACTCATATGTGGAATTTAAGAAATAAAACAGATGGGAAGAAAAAAAGTAAGATAAAAACAGAGAGGGAGGCAAACCATAAGAGACTCTTAACTCTGGGAAACAAATTGAGGATTGCTGGAGGCTAGGTGGGTGGGGGATGGGGTAACTGGGTGATGGGCATTAAGGAGGGCATGTGATGTAATGAGCATTGGGTGTTATATGCAACTGATGAATCACTGAATTCTACTCCCGAAACTAATAATATACTATATGTTATCTTAATTGAATTTAAATAATTTTTTTTTAAAAGATACTAATACTTTAAAATTAAATGCAATTTTGGGGCACCTGGGAGGCACAGTCGGTTAAGCATCCGACTCTTGATTTTGACTCAGGTCATGATCTTGGGTCGTGAAATCAAGCCCCACATTGGGCTCCATGCTGAGCGTGGAGCCTGTTTAAGATTCTCTCTCCCTCCCTCCACTCCTCCCCACCGTGCATGCACACTCTCGCTCTAAAAAAAAGAAATAAAGATAAAGCTAAATGTATTTTAATAGACCATATTGAACCCACATTTTTTTAGGGACTTGCCCTAAATAACATCTGTGTTCATTAATGACAAAAGGTAGGCGTATGTATCATATGCAAAGAGATACTTTAAAGAAACAAAAGGAACTGTGACTTCTATTATATTTGTTAACCTCATATTAAATTCATTTCATTTGTAGAAAAAAAAATTTCCCCAGTGGATTTTTTAAAGATTTTATTTATTTATTTGACAGATAGCACAAGCAGGGGGAGCAGCAGAGGGAGAGGGAGAAGCAAACTCTCCGCTGAGCAGGCAGCCCAATGTGGGGTTCAGTCCCAAGACCCCAGGATCATGACCTGAGCTAAAGGCAGATGCTTAACCCACTAAGCTACCCAGGCGCCCCTGCCAGTGGATTTTTTAATGCATTTTCAGAATTTGATTACTTCTAATAACCTTGTGAATTATAGTTTTATTTTACTATAAATTTGCTTTTATACTGCTTCATTTATGTCAACTTATTTTTCCTGTTACTTAATTTCAGAGTTTTTAAAAGAGACCCCACAATATTATTGTTCTGAATAGAATTGGGCTTTAATCCCTGGCCTGTGATACTGGAAAATTCTTTTTAGATACAGCTGAAATACTTTCCTTGATCTGTCACATGCTGCTTTATGCCAGCTGTGGGTATTACTACACATTGCTTAGGATGTGACATAACTAGAACCCAGATAGTTATTTGAGTTACAGATCGCTGAGATTTTACTGCTAAGGAAACAGTTTCTTACATAAACTTTTCCTATTGGTTTGAATGTGGTGATTTCGTTTTTTAATCTACATCTATCTTGCTGGGTTTTAAAGAAAGTTGGTGCTTATAATTATTCAGTGCAATTATGTGGAACTTATTAAAGAGAACATTTATCAAGGTAGTTTAACCTATATTGACTTTGAAAGTATAAGCACTTTCTTGTGAGTTTGACAGGATACGCTGATAGCTTTAAATAGCTTTAAAGTAAATTGAAATATTGCAGTGGATTTGTTGAGTGGCATGGCACTGTATGGCTTGAATTATTTGAGAAAAGGCAGAATTAGGAATGATCTTTATTCAAGTTGCAAAGCTTATTAATACAATTTTTACGTATTTTCTCATCAATTGCGTATTTCATTTTCTTTATTTGCCTTCTGAATAAATTGTGAGTTAAGTTTATATTATATGAGGGGATTGCTAGTGGGATGTACTTCATTCCCTGTGATTAGATGGTCTTCATGTTTTGGCAATTTTTTAGAGTTTTACTTTAAGCTTAAGATGGACTTCTCCTGATGTAACTAAAGGTGACTCTGTTGCAAATGAAATTTCATGACTCAGTTCTGGGGTTGCATCACTTAGTGGTTAATTACTGAAATATGAAAATAGAGGCTAGAGTGGAGTGATTCAATGCATCTAAGGAATTGTGCCTTTTGAAAATATGTTTGCCTTTGCAAACTCTGTATTTATTCTTTTTGCAAATTTAGTGGATTAAAAATCTGATAGTATAAACCATGTCTCTTTTTTAGCTTTTAGTAATATTTTGCAAGTAATATGTTTTGTAATAACCTTTGATGTAATTTATTTCTCAGTGTATTTGGCTTTGAAATATGCTTGCATAGTAAAAGTCTTTGTAGAGTTCTGTTTTCTTTTTATGAGGTTCTTAGGTACTATTATGACTACCGCTTTCCATTGTATTTTTTCTGAAAAGAATAACATACTTATGAAACATTTAGATTTTAACCTCTATAGGGTATTTTAAAGCTAGCATTTAAATGGACATAAATCTTAGCATAGTATTATAATTTCCTGGGATAGGATTTTCACAGTGTGTTGGTGTGAATGATCTTAGGAAGGGAAAAAATAATTCTCATGTGGATCCTTTTGTTTATAGCTGAGGACTAACTGGATTATAGTTCTGTTCTTGCCTATCAAAATACTGGCTAAGATGGTACTCTCTAAAGGGATGTATTTTAAACTTATTTTTTAAATTGATAGATTAAATTGTGGGTACTTTGTTTTCATTATGTGAGTACAATAGTGGTCATGGGCTAAAGTTTTATTAGATTTATATAGATTGGGTGATTACTTAAAATGCAGTTAATACAACATTAAAACTTTGTAACTTTAGACATAAATTATGTACTGTCTTTAGTTCCAATGCAAGTTTGTTTTATGTTTGTTTTGTTTTCAAACAGGGCTCTAATTCGGCCACTTCCAAGTCAGCAAATGTTTGAACATATGCAAAAGAGACATCGTGTATTTTTTGTTTACATAGGTGGAGAGTCGCCTTTGAAGGTATCAAATGATTTTATTTTTTAAATTCACAAATACAAATGTATTGTAATTTAATTTTCAGGATAGCCAAAACTTTGACCCAAAACTCAAAATTATTTCACTCTTACTGGAAATATTTTAGTTCAATCTAAGTATTTTTCTAATGAAAACACTTTCTTATATGCCCTCTATTGTGTTTGCCTTCATGAAACAGAAATGAATAAAAAGATGTTGCTTGCCCTGGTTATTCAAATTTTGTGTTACTTTTTAGCATTTTTGTCTCTTTGAGACTACAGAGTGCAGTTTGAATGTAAACTTTTTGAAGATGTGTGTGTGTGTGCGTGTGCACGTTTATATGTGTGCATATATGCACAGATATCTCCTGTAATTATTAAATTAATAAATATGAATCAAGCTTATACTATACTTTATTTAGAGGAGTATGAAAGCATTGGGTTATGGTGGTCTTTTTGCTTTAGAAACAATGCATTTCACTTGCTGCTTATGTTCCATCATCTTCTCACATAAAAACACTGACGGCTTCAGACTGGGATGATACTGCTGGGGATGATGCTGCCTGCTCTGAATGTGTAATGAGGGATGAATTCTGATCTTAAGATTTAAAAGTCACCTCTTTCCTATTTGTATCTTCACAGGAGAAATACATAGATGCTGCTTCAGAATTAATTGTATATACATACTTCTTTTCTGCCTCAGAAGAAGTGGTTCCTGAGGTAATGCTTAAAAATGGATTTTAATGACTTAATTTCATTTTTTAAATTACTTGATTTTATTTATCAGATTTATTTACTTTCATATGTGTAGAAACAGTAAACATGTTAACTCTTTACTGCTGATACTAGATTGTTAATAAGCAAATACCACTGGATTCATAGCATTTAGAGACTGTTTATTATGTTGATGCTTTTTTTCTCTTCAAAGTGATAGCAGTAGTAAGAAGTGATAGCTCAAACTGCTAAATTGGTTTATAAGTAATGGAGTGATTAACATATTTATATATATTGATTCACAGCTGCTTCTTACCTGATCATTTGCCGTGCACTGTATTAAGGCCTGGATAGTTGATGACAAGCAAGATCATCAGGGTTGTGAGAGGGTGGAGCCCACATTCTCATGGGTAGAGAAAGTGTACTAAATTTTAGTGTTGCAGGTAACATCTTTTGGGTCCTCAGCCTGAGATGGTCATCTTCAGTAAACAAATATGTAAACAGGATATAACTACTATGAAAAAAGTAAAAGAGCATTGTGATAGTAGGGACATAAGGGTGGGATGGCTGCTCTGGATTGGTGATTAAGAAATGTCTGAGAAGAAAATATTTGAACTGGGACATACATGATGTGAAGGAGCCATGCAAGATCTATGTCCAGAATAAACTAGAAACAGGGAACAGATCATTACAAATGCCCAAGATAAGAACACTGCTGGCATATTTGAGAAATAGGTAGTAGGCCAGTGTGACTATAATACAGTGAGAAAGGAGATAGATAAGAGGTAGGCAGAGACCAGTGGAGGCCTTGCAGGTCATGGCCATGCATGTGATGGGTTGGAAGTTAGTGAAGGACTTGGTCTCGTGTTCAGAGACCAGAGAACAGAATGAATTGGATAGGGATGAGAATAGATCCAGAGAGATCAGTTGAACTTTTGAAGTAACCTGGAGAGTTTAAGCTTGAGGGTTTGTAAAAGGATGGGGGAGAAGTGAAAGCATTGTTGTTTTTTAGAGATGGAATTATTTGAGCTCACTGACCTGGAAGAGAAGGGAAGAATCAAGGATGACTCTTAGGTGTTTGGTTTTAACAGCTGGGTAGGTGGTAGTGTTATCTATGAGTGTGGGAATATTGCAGAAGAAATTAGTTTGGGAATGGGGGACTGATCAAGAGCTTTGAATTGTTCATTTTAACTTGGTTCAACATATTAGTTAGACATCAAGTATAAGCATCGGATTCACAGGTGGATATAGGGGTCTGGCTTTAAGGGCTGTATAAAAACTTCTTAGACATGGGATGCAATTTTTTTTTTTTAATCTTATTTATTTATTTGACAGAGACATAGCGAGAGAGGGAACACAAGCAGGGGGAGTGGGAGAGGAAGAAGCAAACTCCCCACTGAGCAGGGAGCCTGATGCAGGGCTCGATCCCAGGACCCTGGGATCATGACCTGAGCCGAAGGCAGATGCTTAACGACTGAGCCACCCAGGCGCCCTGGGATGCAAATTTTTAAGGAAATAAGTGTGTCCAGGGCCTAAAGACTGCAAAGGAAAATAAGAAGAAAATAGCCAGGGAGGGTGCAGGAAAACAAGAAGGGTGAAAAGCCAAGATAAATATTTTAAAAAGAGGGTCTGTTGTGCAAGATACTTGCAAAGTGATCAAGATGAGTTGAGGAGAGTAACTGTGACACTTGTACACGTGGAGGTTGGTGGTGGTTTTACGGGAAGGACGGTGCCTCATCGGTGTCATCTGAGAGAATGTAGAAAAGAAATTGGAGGTTGCAGGCATAGACTTCTCTTTAGAAAAGTCTTCCTAAGAAGGGGACCTGAGGGCGTCTGGGTGGCTCAGTCGGTTAAGCGACTGCCTTCGGCTCGGGTCACGATCCTGGAGTCCCAGGATCAAGTCCCGCATCGGGCTCCCTGCTCGGCGGAGAGTCTGCGTCTCCCTCTGACCCTCCCCCCTCTCATGCTCTCTGTCTCTCATTCTCTCTTTCGCAAATAAATAAAATCTTAAAAAAAAAAAAAGAAGGAGACCTGAGAAATTGGGCAATAGCTGACAGGAAACATGAAATAAGTCAAGGGAAGCTTTTTCTTTTTAATCAGTGTAAGTTACAAAAAATCGAAAACCGTTTTTTTTTTCACAAAGGTATGTCATATTACACATTTGATTAATTTTTGTTTAATATCTTTTTAACATTTAAATATTTTTAAGAAGATTGTAGACTTGCATAGAGTGTGTGTCTAGTGCTTCTTGCAATATGTATATAAATGTTTATCTTATAAATGTAATATATTCTGAAATGATTTTCAATTCCTTGGGAGAACCTCAGACAAATCTGGTCAGCTTAAACTTGTTTTTAGGTTTACTTAGTTTTGTCTCAGGAGCTCTTTTGCATATTTTATGTGTATGCATTTACTTTTGATGGGGAGGAGATGATAGGGTGGAAGAAGAGCCGTATGTGCCATTAGATTCTCACATAGATGCTCAGGAAGTTACGAACCTCTATTCTGGAAAGTCTTAAGATATCTCAGTGTGATGTAAAGGCCTAGAATGGATGGAATCTAGTTCTAGGCCCAGGCCTGGAACTCTTAACCCATTCTCCTCTCCAAAGCCCAGTGGACCACATTTTAGTATTAGAGATGAGAATGTACATCGTACCCTCACCTGTGAAGCTTTCCAAGCAATTTACTTGGAGTGCACCAGAGGGCATGCTGCGTTCTGGGCCCTGACACCATCTGGCACCACCCCAGTCCTTGTGTAGTGACAGATGTTTTAGATCAAAATTCTAGCGCCTAGAACATCTATGTGGGTGGGCACAAACAGTATCTGCTATGAGGGCATTCTTTTGGTTATTATGTATTGTTTCTATTATTATTGGCCTCTCAACTAGTTTCCTCAAACATTCCTTAATTATTCCTGCAAATATCAATATCTGTCATCTCTTTTTTTTCTGTGTTTGGTTGCAGAAGTCTGCTAGGGGAATCAGTGTTCTTTCAGAGTAATAGGATTTTTACTCCCATAGAGAATTCTCAAATAAGGACAAAGCCCATGATTTTATATTTCCCCCCATATTTTGAATTTTAATGTTTGGTTATGCAAAGTTTCCTTAGTTTTACAGCTCGTATTTATGGAAACCCTAGTAAGTATATTAAAGGGATATAAAGATGAATCAAGGCAATTTCTGACTTCACGATACTTAAAGGTGAATGGAGAAAAATGGCCTGTAGACAAATAACTGTAATATAAGATAACGAGTTTCAGGGAATGCAAGGGAAGAGGAGGAGGGATTCAGAATATGTGGAGATCAATGGCTGCAAGTTACATCTATATACTAATGTTATAGTATGGTCAACTCAGGGGTATCCTTAAAAGAGAGAGGTGCTGGATGCTATAAAATACTCGCGGAGCACCTTTGTGGATGCGTTGCCAAGAGCAGGTGAGTAGAGGCGTACTTGATGATAGAGCCTCACCAGAGAGCTTTACCACTGCCCTTCAAATAGTTACTTTCATGGTGCTGTACCATTTTTTTCTTTTCTTTTTTTTTTAAAGATTTTATTTATTTATTTGAGAGAGCGAGAATGAGAAAGAGTACATGAGAGGGGGGAGGGTCAGAGGGAGAAGCAGGCTCCTCGCCGAGCAGGGAGCCCGATGTGGGACTCGATCCCGGGACTCCAGGATCATGACCCGAGCCGAAGGCAGTCGCTTAACCAACTGAGCCACCCAGGCGCCCGGTGCTGTACCATTTTTTAGTAGTTGTGTAAGAGATCATTCTATATTACCTGAGGTATGCCTTACCCCTTCTCTGTATTTCCAGGGCAGCCGTCTCTATTTTTATTTTATTGTTACAGTTATTTTTATTTTATTAGTTATCTAATGATTATTGTTACTTTTCAGTATTAACCACAGCACGTAATAATTCTTTGTGGCTAACCCATGGGGATACTGATTATTATAATTTTAGTATTTTGAAATAATTATAGCACAGGTATAAGAAGCAGGTACCATCTGAAATAATTTCTTATTAGTTGCCATTATAAGTTCCCATTTATAAAACCAATTTACATTTTAAACCTACTCTCACATATGTTAGTGGATCTAACTTTGCTAACTCTGCAGTGAGGTGGAGACTCAGTGTCCCTGATTTACAGAGGAGGAAGCCAACTCCCGGACAGCAACGGACTCCCGTGTCCCATAGCCAGGAACGGTGGGGAAGGACTTGAACCTGCCAGTGCTGATTGTTACCTTAGCCACTGCTCTTTAACCTCAGACTGTGTCTCGTCCTGTACTTCCTGGGATGTCTTCGGTCTCGATTATCAACTCTAAGAATAATCTACGGTTTTCTCAGTAGCAAACACGGGCACTGTGCCAGGGGATGTTTTTAAAGAGATAAACCTGTCCTTGGATGACCTTGGGATTGACCTTGGGATCTTTTTAACTGTAACAGTTTTGTTATTGTTGTGGTTTTTTTCTGGTATCTTTCAATACTTTTGAAATCATAGCTACCAATTAAAATTGTTTTAATGATAAAAGTTATTTACACATCTCATTTTTGCAGTATGTGACACTGAAGGAGATGCCTGCTGTGCTTGTTTTCAAAGATGAAACTTACTTTGTTTATGATGGTAAGTTCCAATGTTTTAACTCATATAAAACATGTTAAAATTAAAATGCTGTGGCTATTATAGGACTTTGGTGTTGATGAAAGATTTGGTAGGTGCAACTACTTCTTACATTTCCCATTAGTTGAATGACTGACAGATTTTTCTTACCCTTCAACTTGAGTTTTTCCATCTAGTCTGCTTTCTGGGTTCTGCCTACAATGATTTTGGGGGGGGGTGGGGTCAGGTCATTGGCCTTTTGAGACATGAACTCGATACATTTCTGTACATTATTTTAAAACATTCAAAATTATTCATATAAAAAAAAGGATCTAACATTTCAGACTCACAAAAAGGTGAAGAAATAAAACTCCTTCAGTAGTGGTAAAGCCCCTGGAAGATGTATTCTTCCCTGGCTCCATCTCTCCCTCCCTGATAGAAGTAACCACTCACCTGTTATTCAGCATTTCTTCGTTGAAGTAAATACTTGGTCTATTTTTTTAAATACTTTTGTTATACAAACATACATCATAATAAAGACAATGCTAGAATGGTAAAATCCTGTGTACACACCCATCACCCAGGTTAGACAGTTAACCAAGGTCTTAACACATTTGCTTCAACAATTTTTTTCTTCGTTGAAGTATTTTAAAGCAAATCCCAGAGGTTTTTCATCACTGCGTGCTTCATTATGCATCTCTTTAAAAATGTCCTTTTTTTTAATAGAATAACTATATGCTGTTACAACACTTAATAAAATTCACAATAATTCCTTGGTGTTATCAGATACCTACTCCCACCGTTCCCAGACTGTGCAATGAGGTACCTCAGGCCAGTGCAGCAAAGTCACAGGGGCTCCAGGAGAAATTTTAGATTTTGAGAGAAACAGTGAAACTCAGCATCTTTCGGATATCACGCAGCCACTCAAAAGCAAAGTGAATGCAAAGTCATGCCTAATAGCATTCTTTGTAACTTTCTAAATTACAGTTTAATAAAGTAGAAGCTTCAGTTTATTTCCACTAACTACATTTGAAATACTCAGTGCCCTTGTGTGGCTTTTTATTACCATGTTGGAGAATGCAGATATGGAACATTGTATTCATTGCAGAAATATTCTAGAATGTTCTTATTTTATAACAGAAAAGAAACTAGGACTACTTGAGAGCTGTAAGCTTTGGTTTGCTTAAATAATTCAAATGAATAGAATATCTAATAAAAGGAATATTCTGATTTTTTTTAGTAAAATGAACATTTTAATTATTTTTTTTCCGGTTTTTATTTCTTTTTCTTTTTTTTTATTTTATTATGTTATGAATCAAAGTCAACACCCAAAGAACATTTTAATTATCTTAACAATCATGAATACGAAGCATTTCTAAAGTCTCCTGTCTTCATTATTTTTAAATAAATTGAGGACTGAATTTACTTTTTGTAAAGTATAACAGTATAACAACTACCATTTGTTCTATTTTATGCAACAGGTACTAATTATGTACTTCACTTGATATTTTCATTTTATCCTCGTCATAATCTGTGAGGGTAGATAGTAAGGCAGATAAATTACTATCCTGAGATTATGAAAAAGATAACTAAGAGTATTAGATAAGCAAATAGATGTATAATTAAATCACAAGCTCATTGATTTGCTCATTCATTTGCTCACTGGATACTTATTGTCTGTATTAGATACTGGGCTTGAAAAGGAAGTTAAGAGGAACTTGCATATATGAAAATATGAGAAGGAAAATAATGCATATCTGCACCAATTCTATTCATTTGCTCTTTGATTATTGTACTCCTTGTATGATAAGCACTTAACTTATATTGTCTTATTTGATCATTACAGCAGTGCTTTTGAGATCAGTATTCTTATTGTTTTACAAATGAAGAAATAGGATTAAAGAGGATTTTTCCCCCAAGTTAAAATAGTTAATAGTATAATCAGGCGTCAGCCTTCATATCTCTTGTTCTAGTTCTAGTATGAGTTTGTTAATACTTCAGGGAGCCACTTTATTTTTGGAATAAGCCTGATCATAATCTGTTTGGATGTAAATCTGTTCTATAATCATGGCTAAGAAAGTGCCCCTTCTCTTCTCTCCATGTTTCAAATGTGGCCTCCCATGAGTGACCAGGAGGAATAGGATAAGTACCTTTCGCTGTTGGAGAGGTCATCATTTTCTAACGTGCAGTAGTTAGTATTTAGGACCTGCCTGAAGCCTTCAGATAACACAGAGAGTTTACCTTGAATGCCTAGTCTAATATTTAAATGTTGTCAATAAGTTTAGAAGCTTTGGGATAGGGGCTCAGGAGGATGGTTTATTTTCTAATGAGTTTCAGGTGTATCACTTTGTATAATCTTAAAACATTTGCTTTTAACCTGGAGTGGAGTGGAGATTGTGGCCCCAGTACTCAACTCCTAGTTTTATGTTTATTTTTCTAATGTGTAAGTCCAAATCCATAAATACTTTCAGATTTGCATTGTCACTTATTTTATAGGTTTGATAACTTGAAAATGTTTTGTTTAGCAATGCAAGTGACAGACAAAGCACATCTTTCAAGAAATTAAAATCCAGTCTTCAGCCAAACATTTTGGTAGGCTTTTACATCAGCTTCTTTTCGTGCAGTTATAATAATTCACAGTTCCTTCAGAATTGTATTTCTAATTGGGACATAATATTTCTCTTGATATTACAAATGTTTTCTGTCTGCTTAGCAGGGGAATTATTTGATGTTGGAAAAAAGGTTAAAATACTACGGCTTTCTATGTGTGTTGTGTTTTACATACAAGAAAGGGTTGTAAAAAGAGGTAGAAATGTCATAAAATAGAAAGCAGGAAAGAAAATATAATAAAAAGTTATTCATACTGCCATCATTCAAGGATAACTATCAACCCAGGATAACCATTTAGTAGGAGTGTATGTCTTCATTTAATCATTCTGTCAGTTTTTCTTCATACTTTCTGTTTTACAAAGTTACAGTCATACTGTGATAATGTTTTGCAACCTGCTTTTACCACTTAATTATTAATTTTTTAAAAACCTATAAATGGGGGTGCCTGGGTGGCTCAGTCATTAAGCGTCTGCCTTCGGCTCAGGTCATGTTCCCGAGGTCCTGGGATCGAGCCCCGCATTGGGCTCCCTGCTCGGCGGGAGGCCTGCTTCTCCCTCTCCCACTCCCCTCTGCTGTGTTCCCTCTCTCACTGTGTCTCTCGCTGTCAAATAAATAAATCAAATCTTTAAAAAAAAAAAAAAAAAAAACTATAAATGGTCTTTCTCAATATGTACCATAATTATTTAAATTATTTCCTGTTTAGGGTATTTCACTTATTTCCTTTATTTTTATTTATTTATCTTTTGCTTGCTTTGTCCACTAATGCTTTTGTATGTCTCATTGTTTGCTTAGAATAGATTCCTAAAAATTAAATTTATGAATTTAAGATTATGATTCTAGGTCAAGGCATTTCATACGTGTATAGCTAGATTAGAACATTATAAACATTTTAAAGTTTTATTTACATATAACTTATTAGCTTTGTTTTATTTTTAAGAGTATGAGGATGGTGATCTGTCATCTTGGATCAACAGGGAGAGGTTTCAGAACTACCTTACTATGGATGGCTTCCTCTTGTATGAACTTGGAGACACCGGTAACAAGCATATATACAACCTCCATCACTCTGCAGAATTTTCCTTAATTGATTTCTTAAATGTGATTCTGTAGGAAATGAATTTTAAGCTCTCTTTCATAATTTCCTTCCTTTTTAAGACTTGGATGCCAGTTCTTCTTCATGAGAATATAGGTCAATATTAACAAAGAACAAACATTTGTATGGGGAACAAAGATGAGTTAGAAAAGGTTTACTAGTTAGAACTGATAGCAACAGGAAAAGCAGAGCCTGGATAATAAGGAAATGAGAAAAAATAACCAGGAAGCTATATTAGGAGCTGATTTTGTAGTAGGAGTTGGAATACAACTCATCACCACCTTTGAGGCCTGCTTTTTTTAGTTGTGAGGAAAATATGGACAACATACTGGCATGGTTTCTTAAAGTCACAAGATTGAAAATGACAAGCAAAGTAAATATATTTACAGATGCATAAATGAAAGCTATAAGAAGCTGATTGGAGGGTCTCAGGTAGATGTAAACTACCAAAACTATACGAAGCTAACCATGTAAGTTTTAGGAGGAAGTGTTTTGTAAATTTATAATGAATTACAAATGAGAAATAAATCATGGATATTATTGCCATATTTGTTTTCATTCACAACTTCATGATAAGTGGAAGGGAAATACAGTTTTAGATTTAAAAAAACGGGAAAATTTTACTCAAGGTTTGGTTTTTTTTTTTTAATATATGAGTAGTAGTGTGCATAGATTTTCCTCTTCATGATTTCCTGCTTTTGAATCTGATTAATAATACGAATTAGAAATGTTCTAATAGGTTCTCATGTTATTTTCAAACTCTTAGGATATTTGTTCTGGCTCCAGAGCCTGCTTATTCATGTTCTGTGTCTGGTGACATTTCTGTCTTTGTTTATCCTTACAGAGGGAGGCGTGTGTTAGCTCAGTACTGGAAGTTGATGTGGATACTGTCAAAGATTGTGGGTTTACTTTTGGATTTTTTCAGACTCGTGTGAAGGGAAAAGGGAACAATGTAGGAATATAGTAGCTTTGCTTTCAGTTCAGTAATCATAGGAGATAGCATGACCTTGAGGTAATTAAAATAGGCAGCTCTGGCTCTACTCAAATAGTTTCTTCTCCCAGATTAATTTGGAAAGAAGTTGACTATGGACAGTTCATTTTTTTGTATCCAACATAATTGCCCTTGTTCGCTTTGCGTCTGTGGCTCTGTTCCTGCCCATTGTCCCACCTGGCGACTCACCACACAAGTACAGAGATCCTGGCTCTCCGTGGTTTCAGACACTTCTTGTCTTTCTCGGAAGTCCTGGTGACGGCGGGTCCCTGCGTCTTCTGACCCCGCCTCAATCTCTGTCTCCTCTCACTCTGGTCTTTCCTCACTCTCCCTTCTCCAGCCACACTGACTTCTCGGTTTCTTAGAAAGACTGTGCACCTGGCATCAATGCACCTTTATAGCTGGAAGTGGATAGTTAATTTGTGTTCATCCATTAGACTCAGACCAAATATTGCTTCCTAAGAAAATCTTTTACTGATCCCCTCAAACTACTTAATTTACTCTGTAGGACTCTTTTATCCCTGTTTCCTTTCCTTCAGAGCTCTTCTCCTTGTTAACCGTACATTTTTTCTTTGTTGTAAATGATCTTTTTGTGTTTCTGTTGTTTTCCCTACTAGACTGTGCTTTCCACGAGTTCAGGGCTGTCTGTGTGTGTTCATCACTCTCCAGGTCCGTCCCACAGCTAGTAAGTGGTGGTGCTTCACAGGTGTTTCCCCGGCCTAGAACAGAATACACACACTGAACTGCAGCATCTGGTCTTCTGATTCCAATACCAGTTCTCTGGATATTATGTCATGCTGTCTGCTAGAGGATGTTAGAGACGAATGTGATTTATGTTGTGTGTAGGGTTAAGTAAATTTGAGTCAGTTTTGTTTTGTGTATTATTACTGGCAAGTAGTGATGTGACCCATGGTACTGAAGGGAATAGCATGTAAAAATCCTTCTCTTGTTATATGTCATTCTTTTAGAGCTACAGTAATTAATAATAAATTTGTTTTATCATTAATGATAAATAATAAATAAATTTATTTTATTTCTTAATGTCAGATTTTGACAAAGTATTCATTTTAGTCAGTTTGTGGGTACTGAAAACAGTACAATTTGAGTATATAAATTGTTAAATATTTACTGTTATTTACATTTGGGGGATGGGAGGTAGGATTAGTCACTTCCAGTTGACTAATTCATTGATTCATTCTGCTGTGCATAACATGTAGCATAACGAATTAAATTCTAGAAACTACTTACTAATTCCCAATTCACAGCTACAATAATAATTGAGAAGTTTGTATAATGAGGGCTATTGAATTTAGATATGTCATTCTTAATTTCAGGAAAGCTTGTGGCTATTGCAGTTATTGATGAGAAAAATACATCAATTGAACATACCAGGTATAGTGTCTTGAAATAGTTTTAAGCTTCACATACCATCTAATTCAGACTTTACGTGGCCTCAGATAAACTTGATGTAGTATTCTTATTTTTCCCACTGTATTAGATAAGGCAGCAGATATTATAATTGAAAAATGATAATATATTTTTGAAGTGAAGAGATGAAATATTTATGTATTCTTTCACAGATTAAAGTCAATTATTCAGGAAGTTGCTAGAGATTACAGAGACCAGTTCCACAGGTAGGTGGTTGCATTCAGGAACATTCATTTATCTTTGTTTAATTATATTTTGTAATTTAGTAAAGCAAAAGTGGTACTATTTTATTCTTTCAAAGGTGAATCAAGATACTGAAATGAATTATAGTATGTTGCATTTCAGTATGAATTGTTTGGACTTGCTAATACAAGTAAAAAAAAACCTTTATAACTTGTATCCTAATTGCTTCTTGATGGTATTTGGGATACATTTGTTGTAAGGAAATATGAACAAGTACTGATACATTTGAGATAAAGTTAAATGAGCAATCACAACTTAGATATAGACAGATGATGATTATAACAGGAATTCAGAGAATAACTGGGTATAAAAAATAAGTGTTCTTGTTGCTTTGTGCCAAATCATTCTGTTTGTTGCTGCCATAAGAGACAGTCTGTAAATGTGGTATATTTTTTAATTATTCCCTTTTTATTCTGAGTCTTCTAATGATTTATCGGTGATATATATTTATATTTCTTCTGTTACATAGTATGAGCATGTTATTAGTCCTTTTGTAAACAAAGTGGGTCATTTTTCTTAAGCGTGTTTTAATTAGAAATGCTTATATTGCTCTGCATTTTAAATAGAGAGCGGAAATATCTTAGAATTTATTTAATTCTACTCTGTATTTTATCTCAGAAGCCAGTAGAATTCATACTCTTTTCTACATTTATCTTATGTGATTTGTATGTTAAATGTTTACACTGTTTACATGCTTACCAAGCCCTGAAGTTCAGTTCTTGGTACATATTTACCTTGTTTCGTCTCTAATACTGCTCTCTTTTTTCCTTTTGGTTATTGTTGTTGGGTAGGGATATTCAGTTTGGCCATATGGATGGAAATGACTATATAAATACCTTGCTGATGGAGTAAGTAAAGTTTTAAATGATTAAATGATTTTGCTATCAATTCTGTCAATTTTTAAATTTCTGTTTCTGAGACACTTTTAAAAGCATTACCAGCTGGGAAGAAAGTGAACTTTTCATCTATGCTGACGCAGATATTCTCCCATCAAATATCTTACTTTAGTTTTTAAATATAAATTTGAAACTCACTGAACTTTAATATTGCTCCATATTAAAAAAAAATTCCATGTTAAAAATTTAACTCTGAATTCCATGTATTTTGGAAAGAAGACAGCATTCAAAATTTAAAAATTTTATAGTTTCTGTTTAACACACACTTTACCTAAAGTTCAGTTTCAATGAGTAAATGTAATTTAGGAAATTTTTACATCGAAGAATTAGCTGCTATACTAGAAGAATTTATTTTAACACAGTAAAAATAACTTTATAGGGAAAGTATACAATTTTAAAATAATTCTATCAGTTATGTTTATGACATAAAAATCTGATTTGCCACTTCAAAAAGTTATTAGAAAACATTTATCACACTTACAGTAAATTAATTTCAAGTAAGAGCCTACTCTATGCAGCAGACATTTAGTATTTCCTGTATGCCACACACTGTGTTTGGTCCTGTTGATACAGAAAATAAGTAGAGTCCCTGTCTTCAAATGCTTAGAGTCTGCTGGTAAGACAGCATAGTCCTTGCAGAACTGTATGAAAAGGTCTTCACAGTAGAGAGTTCTGGAAACATGCCTGCTCCCACCTCCCCCGCAGTGCACACAAAGCTGGAAGGGATCGGAATATGCTTACCAGAGGAGGCAGTAATGCAGAGAGGTTACCTCGAAGAAGAATGCAGAGGCGTTATTTCAGACACACAAGAGGTGGTAGGAAGATGGGGCTTTGAGAGTGTGGAGCTTAGAAACAGCCCCTGACGTGAAGATGGGGGAGCTCGCCAGCGACAAGGGACCTTGTCCGACAGCGTTGAGGTCCCAGTTCACGTTACCGTGACGTTGTGTTTCGCATTCTCCAGCTTTGCTTAGTAGCGGAGTTGGAGCCGTTGCCTTCACTCGTGTTTCGGCGTATTATTCCATTTTCCAAGTAAGAACACGGGAAATAAAAATGAAGCTTACAACCCAAAACAACATTCATAATTTTCAGGTGAAAGCTTAAAATTATAAAGTAGTGTTACCTTTATTCATTTTTACTTATTATCCCTCTTATTCCAATAAGAATGTGAGAGTTTTTGCCAGTGATAAAAAGTACCAGATTATAACGAAGAAATCAAGACAAAGGAAAATAAAATAAAGGATCTATATTATCTTAGGTATTTATCATTTATAGGTAATTATTAAAGGTACTTGAAAATTTGGGCCCTGATTTTTTAATACTCGAAACAAAGTAGAAAAACATTATTTACACATTTCCCGTAGCCTGTAAAATAACTGTTGGTTATAAGGAGTATGGCAGACCTTGTAGAAACCTAAGAGAAATTGTTATGCTATAGAATCTCACAAAGGGGGACACTCTGTAATAGAAATATGTTTTTAGTAAGATTTTTATAGTATATATATTAGGGGCTTTGATAGAACCATTTCTTATAATGTCCTTCAAGGCAAGCCAATATTCAGTAAAACATTGTAAGAGGCTAAAGCAATTTGGGTCCAATAAACAATTCCTTGATTCAGGGCAATATTCAGAATATGTACAGATGGATGGATGGATATTCCTTCATGAGTATGATTGTTAATGTGAGTTGTGAGATAGCAGAAATTTTGAGCTACAGTTGTGGTCTGAGAACAACAGTAATCTCTACTGCCAACACCTTGTTGTGTTGTTTTGTTTGTTTGTTACTCATATCTTGCTTTTTTTTTTCTTTTTTGAAAGAAGAGAAAGCGTATGATGATGGTTATGTGATGATAATTGAAAGTCCTTATTGAACACTTAATTCTGTGACTGACACTGGACTGAGTGGTCAATCGGTATTTTTTAACTTTTACAGTAACTCAGTAAGGTGTAAGTACTATTATTTCCATTTTATATAGATGAGGAAATTGAAATTTCTTAGAAGAAACTCAAGGAAGTTAAATAATATGCCAAAGGATGTCCAACAAGTAAGTTAAAGAGATCCAGTTCTGAAATCCAGATCTTGCTCACTCCAAAGCTCTTCCATGACATTAATATTGTCAGAGAAATTAGTGGAATTTAATAGGTATTGATGCCTAAGTATTTTTAACTTAGGGCAAATTACATGATGTTATGTAAGATAGTTATACAGCAGCACTGTTTTTTAAATCATCTCAAAATAAATAGCGTACTGTCAGACCCTAAATCTGTTAAATTGTTTTGTTTTGGGTTTTTGTGAATATAGTTAAGAGGGAATAGTATGAAATGATATTTTCCATTCCCATCATTATTCAAATTGATTTATTTCACAACAGATAGTTTCTAGTCCCACTGTGTATTTAACTTTCTTATAATACGTATTTTTATAGGCAGGCCAAGTTCTGATCCATTCTGATTTTTGGTACTTATGCATCATTATAACTAATAACTAAACTGCTATAAATCAAAAAGTTGTCTTTTGTATTTTTTATGAACAGGAGTGAAGCTAAGATTTTTTTTTTAATTGTACAGTCAGCTAACTCTTGCCTAATAACAATACCGGATAATCAACCACCCTGATACCCAGTGACGTCAAGCTGTAATATGTATTCTCTCTCACTTAACCTGGGCTTGGCTGACGTTGACTGGGCAGATAGATGTGGCTCCACACTGCCACGGAGGTTCAGTCTGCACGGTCTTGCGTGTCCTGGCCCTGGAAGGGTATTTCCCTGGGGAGTCGTGTGGCACTCACAGAAACACAGGAAGGCAAGCCTAGCCATGCACGCACATTTCAAGCCTCTGCTTGAGTCACGTCTGTTAACCTTCCCTTTGGCCAAGTCACACAGCTGAGCCCAACATCATGAGTCACATGAGCGTGTTTTGCCTAACTGGGAAAAGGTCATGGCTTGGGGAGAGTAGAGAATTATGAGCAAGAAAGCAATCTACTGGACTCCGTTACTTGTGTGGTGATAATACAGTGGTGTGAATCGCTTCTACTGTAGAGTTTTGTCCTTTTGCATAATATTTTCACATAAACATACCAATAACCATAAACCTGTGTGCAGGTGACATACAGAATTAAGCACCCCCTTCTTTTTATGATTATGCAACAACCTATCCTTGAAAGGAAAAAAAATTATTTCAATTAAATGACACCTATTAGTAACATTTTTTGTCTGAAAACTGATGTCTAGCGAATCAGTGAAGCACTTCCTGAGGATGCGGTGGAATACGTAGTGGGATAGTGGGAGTTCAGAGAATTTGGAATAGTATTTATTGAACACAAGGTACTGTGCTGAATATATAACTTGAGTTTTCTCACATAATTTTCACAACAAAATAGGTACCCTCCCACTACTCACCTTGTATCCATTTACACATGAAAAACGTTACGCTTAAAAAAACAGATTATGGGAAAGCCCCAGGCTTCAACACAAGCAGTGTGCCTCCACAGACCCTGCTCTTTCCTATCTCCTGTCCTCAGTGCCACTTGACTGGACTGGGTTTGTGTGACCAACACTGGTGGGATTTGGGTGGCAAGGGATAAGATTGCCCAGAAATTGGTACTTCATACATAATAATTTTTAGTTTAATCATTAATACTCAGCTGTCTGATATTACATATTAGAATGTTTTCTTTTGTTTTTTTTTTTTTTTTTTAAAGAGAGCAAATGGGAGGGAGGGTGGGAGGAGGGGAGAGGGAATCTCCAGCAATCTCCCCTCTGAGCAAGGTGCCCCTTACAGAGCTCGATCTCATGACCCTGAGATCACAACCTGAGCTGAAATCAAGAATCATACGCTTAACCGACTGAGCCACCCAGGTGCCCCAAAATGTTTTTCATATAATCTTAATTTAGCTATGTCTTAAAGTGATGCACAATTTGAAATTTTCTTCATGTAAGCATAGGGAGGCAAAGCTATTAATACAGCTTCCTCCTTTTGTGATTATAGTTACTTAGATATAAATGAATATCAGAATATTTGTTATTTCTGTGTTTAATGTGTATTTTGATTTCTTTGTTTTTCTGTTTTCAGTGAACTGAAAGTCCCAACTGTGGTTGTACTGAATACTTCAAACCAACAATACTTTTTACTAGATAGACAGATCAAGAATACCGAGGACATGGTACAGTTCATTAATAACATCTTGGATGGCACAGTAGAGGTGAGTCGTTCACTTCCATTTCAAAGGAACAATGGGAGGAGGTCGAGGAGAAACAAGCTTTCTTCTTTTCCTCTGATTCTGAAAGGAAGAGTCATCACCTGGGGTGAGGGGCAGTCCTCCCCACCTTGCTTCTCTCACATCACAGAGCCACATTCTCAGACATAGAAGGTTCTTCTGTGGAAGAGGCTGCTCATGGGTGGGAATGTCTCTTTTAGGGTTATTTGGAAGACATTTTTGGTTGTCACAGTGAGTGGGAGGTGTTGTTGCCATTTGGAGTTGGGCTGTGGGTGCTGAGAGGTCTGCAGTGTGCAGAGCTATCCCAGTAGTGAACCTTCCTGGCCCTTAACCTTTCTGGGTTAAAGAGTCTCATTGGATTAAGTTATTCAGATTGCTTTTTTAAGAAAACCTGTGAATAAGACCACCATTTCTTAAAAGATAAGGAAATGTACTGAGAATCTGAGCTTCAGTGGAGAGTTCCAAATCCAATTATATAAAATATTTCTCAGAAATAATGAATGGAGAAAGAGTGAATACCTACCATTTACATTGACATGGATAGAACTGGAAGGTTTTATGCTCAGTGAAATAAATCAAGCAGAGAAAGACAGTTATCATATGGTTTCACTCATATGTGGAATATAAGAAGTAGTGCAGAGGACCACAGGGGAAGGGAGGGAAAACTGAATGGGAAGAAATCAGAGAGGGAGACAAACCATGAGAGACTCTTGACTCCAGGAATCAAACTGAGAGTTGCAGAAAGGGAGGTGGGTGGGGGGATGGGGTAACTGGGGGATGGGCATTTAGGAGGGCACGTGATGTGGTGAGCACTGGGTGTTATATGCAATTGATGAATCGTTGAACATTACATCAAAAAACCAATGATGTACTATATATTTGCTAATTGGATTTAAATTAAAAGAAATAATGGATAGTCTTAACTTTCCATTTTTTTCTATAAATCTTATTGCAGTGTAATTCAAACTGTGAGTTGCAATCCACATTACAGGGCCATGAAGTTACCTCAGCACATTGTGGCCAGCATGCCTCTTCTTTCAACAGACTAGAATAAATCGAAAAAATATGAGACTTCTTGGCTTTTATGAAGTTAAATTACTATTTTGTGAGAGTTTTGTTTCAGCTTTTACAAACTTTATTTGAAAGTTGGCTCACAGAATAACAAGCATTTCTTTTTTGGAAACAGTCGCTTAGTAGGAATTTCATATTTGTGAAAATAATACTTATTGAAATAAAATTCACCTCTATGAGTGAGAACTCTTCTATGTGTAAGTTAGTGAAACCCAATTCAAACTGTTTGACAACAAAGAGAGCCTCACATAGTTTGGAAATTCAAGCAATGAGCCAGACTCAGGGATGGCCAAATGCAAGGATTTGATAGATTTTCGTCAGGGATTTTTCTCTGCCTTTCTGCACTTTTGGGTGGGGTGTGGCGGGGGGGGGGGCTTCATTCTTAGGGAGATTCTCCCTACACAATAGCAAAGATACCCTGCTGCAACTTTAGTTTAACAGGCTCAGCTGACTTCCGAAATTAGGCAGGCCTGGACTGGTGGGTCAGCCTCATCCAGGCTGTTTGGAGTATGACAGGGAGACTGAATTCTTCACACAGGAAAGCAGACAGAAGGTGAGACAGAAAAAACAGTAAATATGTACTGCATTGCTCTTCCAGGTGCTTTTTGTAATCTCCTGGAGTCAACCCTTGACCTGCAGTTATAGAATTATAGAACAGAAAAGTGAAGTCATGGTACTTAAATAACAATTTAATTGTTTTGTTTTGTTTTTTTCCTGTTAAACTTAAGGCCCAAGGAGGTGATAGCATTTTGCAGAGATTGAAAAGAATAGCATTTGATGCCAAATCTACTATTGTGGTGAGTTTTGACAGTTTGCTTAGTGTCATTGATAATTGAGAATATGTAGGTGTGTAGTTGCTTTATGTCTAATGAAGGTTAAATGATATTTCAAAGGATTAGGTAAAAATGCATCTTTAATTTGAAAGATAAGAACCAGTCCGTATTTACATTGAGAAAATATATTCTTCAGGTGGAAATTAAGTTTCTCTACTCATTTCTATGTGATGGTGAGTTAACTGGAATTCAGAATCTGTTACCTCAGTGACATGACTTGAAAGTGTTTCCAGAGTCTCTTTTCTCCTTCTGCCCTTTTCAGTCACTGGATCTGAATCTGCTTCAGCTCTCGGTCAGCTTGACAGCAGAGGCACTCCGAAATTTGTTTGAGCTTTAAACTTAGTTCTAGTTCTCTTCTTGAGCTCCATACTCCGTAGGTGTTTTCACTAAGGCCAAAAGCAGTCATTAAAGTAGAAATCCTTAAAACCAGCCCTTAGGACACTGTATCAGCTGCTGCTCTAACTTCCACGTGGGTTCTTCACTTCCTGTTACCGTCTCCCTCCATTCTGTATACCGCTACACACGGAATAGGACTAAAATAGTCCGTTTTGATCACTTTCCTTCCCTTTTCCAGTGACACATGGGAGAATACTCTCTCCATTTCAGATGGTCTCATTATTTTTTGAATATTACGGAAGCTTCCCTGGTGCTTCTTGCTAGTGCTCACACTACCTCATTCTTACTCGTGCATAAATTTCTGCCTCAAACACCTTTATTCTGGGAGGCCTTCTTCCGTCCTCTCAGTCCAAAGTGACTTGCTGTCTGTGAATGTGCCTATATAGCTCTCGAGTTACAGTCATGAGCCACAGAGGATAGTAGAGTTGAAAAACCTATGCAGTAAAATTGCTTTTACTTTTCTGAGAACTGAGGAGATTGTGTATAAACTGAGGGAAATTATTAAGTTAATGTGGCTTAATACTAACCAGAAAGTAAAAAAATATTTAAAATGTCATATGAAGAGGAATGTGTATGTACCTTCTTTACGTTAAATGACCAGCCTTCTCACTGAGCGGATTCCTGGAGTCCAGGATACAACTCCGAAGCTGTTGGGCACGTAGTTGCCATTTCCAGAGAGACCTTTGTGGTTAATGTGAGGAAAATAAATGTCTTCAGAAAAGGTTATAAAATATCTGGTGCCTTTTTCTACTGCTGGGAGCTGGTTACACACACACACACACACACACACACACATGTGGTGTCTTTAACATGGTAGCTACTGCAGAAATACTGACACTGATTCATTGGAACTAAGAGCAAGTTGAATGGTAGCAAGAGGAAGAAATTTGCAGTGGTTTTAAAATCGGGGGGCGCCTGGGTGGCTCAGATGGTTGAGCGTCTGCCTTCAGCTCAGGTCATGCTCCCAGGGTTCTGGGATCGAGCCCTGCATCGGGCTCCCTGCTCCGCGGGGAGCCTGCTTCTCCCTCTGCCTCTCTCTCTCTCTCTGTCTCTTATGAATAAATAAATAAAATAAAATTGTTCATGTATTTTATACCAGAAAGCATAGGAGGAGAACTGAATTGTGATTATCTTCCCACAGTCTGTCTTCAAGAGCTCTCCACTTATGGGCTGCTTTCTCTTTGGCCTTCCACTGGGGGTCATCAGTATCATGTGCTATGGCATTTACACAGCTGACACAGATGGGGGTTACATTGAGGAACGGTACGAAGTATCCACAAGTGAAGTTGAAAGCCAGGAACCAACAGAAGAGAGCAAAGAACAGGAGCCAAGGAGTGGAGACGTCCTAGTGCCTACAGTGCAAGGACCCAAAGATGTATTGGAGAAGAAGAAAGATTGAGATTTTGCTAGTGCAGAATATTTGATAGGATTTCAAATTATTAAAGAGTCTATTTATTGAATTTAGACATTTAATCATGATCTTTAAAAAAGAGAATATGTTATTTGTATTTTGCTAATATCAGCTTGCATGGATTAAAGTAGGCCTTCATAAATGGGGAAATGGTTGGAGCAAAGAGATGAAATGTGTCCTAAAAAAAATGAAGACACTCCATCAGAGTTCACCTTATGGATGTTATAGCAGATCAATTCTCTTGCATGTTTCTCTGAGTATTCTGTGACACAATTAAAATTCTTGGGCAGAATATTTAAATTGGTCAATCAGGTAGAAGATACATGCTTGATAAAGAAAAACAATACCTTCACCTCCTACCATTCATTCGTTCTCGTATATTTTAGGTAAGATTTACATGGGCAAAATTAAGTCTTTAAAATTTAGGCACTTTAAGGAGAACTAACAACTTTTTCCATGGATGAAATTAAGATTATGACTTAGAAACAATTTGGTTTTATATAGCATAGCAATTTTATTTTTAGTTACTACTTTTAAAGGAGAGAAAATGTTCCTTTTTAACTTTACACTCAGTTACATTATTGAAAATTTCATATGGGTCTATAGAGTGGTAAAAACAGTCTTATGTTTAATCTTTGCAAAATAAATGGATTTGATTGGAACACTCATTTCAAACCATGCCCTGAGACATGCTTAGCAAGTGCCTCAGTGGTCACTGTAGGAAGGGGCGGGTCTCTGTTTTATATATTGGAATTTCTTCTAAAAATTTCCTTTGAGAAAAAGCTCCTACTGCTTTTTAAAAAGTAATATATATCATATTTTTTATGTTTATGGTATGGCAACGTTATGGTAACTTATGATATGGGTGTATCTGTGTGTATAATATACACACACATGCACAGTATATTTACATATACATATAAAATTTATTGACATGTCTGTTATGTAATTTTATGGGCATGTGTATGTTCATAATGAGTAATGAGTGACATAATCAACCTGTCAACAAAATTTATGATAATCCAGTGATTAAGAGATCTGCCAGTTACCTTCTCCATCCTCTCAGTTCTGACTCCCATTTCAGCCAGTGACCTCTCATCTTCTCTCTCTAATAATATAACATAGGAATTCTATCCTGAGTAATGTATAAAAATTGGCATTGTTTTAAGCAACATTATGGTGTGTTTATTGTAGATTATTTTTGAGCCCTTCATTGTAACTAAGTTTAGGATTTTTATTAGATGACCATTGTGTGGGTGATGATTAGAATGGTTTTTGTTAAACACTGAAAAATTCTTAATCACTTTAAAAATATGCAACTCATGGTCCTGATATTGAAGTTGTTTAGGGCTTTGGTCCTCAAAGCAGCTGTTGGTTACTTCTGGTGCCATGCTGATCACAGCTAAACTGAAGCTTGTATCTAAGTACTAGGAAGTTACTAGCAATTGTTTTATTGTATCCATGTGCTCTTTTAGCATATTGTAATTAAATGCTATTAATTTAACAAGTAGATTCCTCTCCAAAGAGTAATGAGGGGTTCTTTTGGAAGATAAATATTAATGTTCCCAGTGGTCAAGCTTGTTTTGCAGCAGTGAAAAAAAGCTTAGGTGAGTACAATGCCTCACTCGAGTCTAATCTAGTATGGAAGGTAAAACTTAGTCTCCATCAGGGACAGTAGGAAATTACAGAAAATGTCATGGTTTTCTTCTTCATGTTTATCATTATCAGATGTCCTTCATCTGCACATTTTTGGCCTTTCTCAGGCATCACTTATAAATGAAAGAACTCAGTAGAGAAAGATAAAAAAGTAAAAACTCAGTATGTATCAACAAACAAAAGTCCAGCCATCTTTGTATTCTGAGATTTGCTTGTTAATAAATTAATGCCTTAGTTCTTTGTTACCTTTTTCACAGCTCTCTACGTTGCCCCATATCCTATTCATGTTCCAAAGTGTCTATTAGGAAAACAAAATGTGTAGATGGTTTATAAGTGAATAATCTTTCTTTTTGCATTAGAATTTTGTTTTTTATTTATTTCTACTTTAGGATATTATCAGACTCCTCACAAAACAAATTTAAAATTTTTGTTCACTAGTATGCTTTTCCCTTTGATATGGTATCCGCACTTAACTAGGAATGCTATTTTCATTTCAGGAGAAAGTACTCCCAAATAACTTAATTTCTTAATGAATCTAGTAGTAGAATATAGATATCTTAATTCACTGGTGAATCATCTTATGATTACATATTAATGAGAATATCCTCCAGTAAGTTAGAGTTTTGCCTTTTCTTTCAGTTGCAATAAATTCTATTTCTAAATCCTAAAATTCAGAATTCTAGATGGCTTACTGTTGATAAGTCTGATGCTCAGACAATATTTAATTATATTTCGGAGAAAGAAAGTACATATTTTTTTCAAGCTATGCACCCCATTATAGCTTGCAATCCTTTTTGTTTTCTTCATCATACACATTAATATTTCTCTAGCTACTTTATTTGAAACTTGTTTGAAGTGTATTAGACCTAAATTTTTATTTTCTTCCTCACCCCTAGTGCTTCCCCAGTATCTGACTTAGAAATAGCATTAAGAGCCAGATGTCTAGAGGTTGAAGGAACCTATGTGAGTAGTTAAACATCTATATTATTTTTGTTTAGTGGATTTTTGTTGGTTTCTTGTGTTTTGCTTCAGGGGCTTTTCTGGTTTGGGTTTGCTAAAAAGCAATTTACGTATTTTCATCATTGCTTCATGTGATATGGAGGTAGGACAGGGAGAACTACTTAGCTATTCTTATTATGCAGACATTGTTCAAATAAACCAGTGTGGGATATTGAGACTATCATTTAATTGGTGGGATTAGGTTTGCCATTTTATTTTTATAAATATATATTTTTTCTGAATGTGTCTGAGTCCAAGAGTGGGCAAAAAATAATTTTCTACTTTGGACTAAATCTGTAAAGGTTTTTGAAAGTCTGTATTACTAACTTGTTGAATTCATGAAATTTTGCCTTAAGGCACCAATTGTAAACCTTTGATTTTCTAAAATAAATTAATTGAAAACATGTAATTTATTATTTTTACTATTTATATTTTGTTTTCAACACTAATAGTTCCTTGTGCAAGCAAAGAAGACAGCTAAGACTGATCCTCCACGAATTATTTTTCCTTTTATTAAATTGTGAGTTGTCATTATAGAAATATACAATGAGTTTAAACAGACTTGAGAAAGATCAGATTGCTATCTAATCTCCTTATAGAAGAACCTGAGATTCCTAGGTTATATATATTTTGTATTTGTAAAACCTGATTATGTTTAATAAATTTCAGGGTTTAAGAGTTGAAATAATTGGACTTGTGCCATGATCAAAGGCTACATTGTGATCTTGGACATAACACAACCTCCTGTCCTTTTCATTGTCAGTAAAATGGGAATCCAAAGCCTCAAGACATTCTTTTATAAAATAGCATCAAATGGGGGGCGCCTGAGTGGCCCAGTCGTTAAGTGTCTGCCTTTGGCTCAGGTCATGATCCCAGGGTCCTGGGATCCAGCCCCGCATCGGGCTCTCTGCTTGGTGGGAAGCCTGCCTCTCCCTCTCCCACTTCCCCAGCATGTGTTCCTGCTCTTGCTATCTCTCCCTCTGTCAAATAAATAAAATCTTAAAAAATATATAGCATCAAATGGGGAGAGTATATTATGAAAAAAAGTTCTTAAAAATACTATTTTTTAAATTATTTTTTATATGCTACACCATGAACACTTTTTTTAAAAGGTTTTTTTTTACTTATTCATTTGAGAGAGAGTAGCGAGTGAGAGCATGAGCAGGGGGAGGGTCAGAGGGAGAGGGAGAAGCGGGCTCCATCCATGGAGTAGGGCTCCATCCCAGGACCCCAGGGTCATGACCTGAGCTGAAGGCAGATGCTTAACCGAGCCACTCAGGCACCCAGACCATGAGCACAATTTTTTAATGAGAATTGTTCTGGCACGGGAATAACAGCCAAAAAATTGGCCCCACCCAGCACGGGAGTAATACAGACTAGCTGGTTAGAATGGACCTTCCCTGATACGAGTGACCAAATGCGTCCACTATGTGAATTACGTGGGTGATGACAGGCTCCTGGGTCCCTGCCAAGAGGCTGGACTATGTTGTGAGTATGGAGGCCCTGGTGTCAGTGCCTGGGTTCCAGTCCGGGCTCCATCACTTGGTGCGCAAAGCTGGGAAGATGCTCACCCTCCTTGCTCTGTGCTAATTCCAGGTTAATGGAACCCATCTCACTGGATTATGAGATTGAGTTACACATGAGGCATGTTTAGAAAATGACTGGCACATGAAAACAGCTCAGAAATTATAACATGTATGTATCCAATTGATTTTTCTTCTTACTCTTCTTAGAATTTATATCATTGTTTACCACAGAGAAAAGCCAAGACTTTAAGAATATGAAATACTAATATGTTTAAATTTGCTTGGCTACCTTTTGCAATTCAAGCTCTAACATTTTGGATAGACATGAAAAGAAGTTGACATTTCTTTACCATTGAAATTAAATATAATTGCAAACATTTAGGTTCATAAACCTCCAAAAATCCTTTGGGTTTTGTGCTTTCAGTGAAAATGAATACACATAAGAGGATATAAGTATCCAGTGGGATTATTGGCATGTGTAAATAGTTTAGACGGATATCAATGTTATTTGGACACAGATTTAGAATATTAATGGATACTGAATATAGATGATTTGGTTTTCCCGCAAGCCTTTCAGACAACAGTCCTCAGCCCCTCTGCTTTCCTCCAAGTCCATCTCCCTATAAACTGAAAAGGGATTGTCAACAACTAGTAAAAACGTGGCAATTGTTTTCTTGCAGTTTATTCTTTCAACAAATGTTTTTTACCTGTCTCCTGGGTACTGCTGAGCATACAGTAGTAAAGGATGGCCAAGAGCGAGTTTCCTTCTGACACTGAGATTCTGTGAGGCGGCCAACATAAGCACTAAAGCCATCCACTATGTCGTTTTACAATTGTTCCTTCTCTTTCCAACAAAAAATTTAAAAAAATAAAAATTGGCCAATTTTAATATGTTACATTTAGTAAATTTTAGTTGGGTGGTGGAAGCAGTCCAGCGAAACTGAGGCATATGTAGTAGTAACTGAGGATATTCTACTCGTTCACATTTTTCACATGGCTGCGTCACTGTCTCCTGTCACTACGTTCACTCATGGATTTATTTACGTAATTGGTTTTCTTCCATCACAGTTGGATGATATTCCAGTTTCTCAACATGTCTGATGCTAATCCCTAGAAATTCTGTTCCAAACCATAAGAACCCAGTCAAAAAGACAGTAAATACTTAGATTTTAATGACTCATACAATGACTTTTGATAGTTAAAATTTTGAGGTTGTACACACAGAAATAATCTGCGTAACTAATAAATCTATGTTAAAGTCCTCTGTCTCCTTTTTATTTTTAAGCTGATTGTCAACGGAACTTTATGAGATTCTGAATTGGCATAATAGAGATTTTAAGATCATATGTCTTCTCCAAACAATGCTTTATTGTTCTAAATCCATTAATTGGAAGACTGACTTAATCTCAAAGATTTTTGTTAGATAGAAGGTGACTCTTTTTTACAAGGGATAATTTTGGAAGGAGTAAAAGATTCACTTTATATTTGGACACAGGTTAATTCACATTTTTCATGAAAGACTAATTAGGTATCTTAGTTTCCAAGATTATTATATAAACCTCTCCTGCCCAAATTACCACACTTGATACAGTCTATTCTGAGTTGTTGATAGTATAATCTCAAAATCTGAATTGCTATCCTTCAAAATAATGTGTCACCCCACCCCACCCCCTTGTAGATACTAAGTCATTCAATTAACATATGAAACCTAACAGTAATTTTTACAGGGGCCAAACAACCTCTAGCAAGATATAGTGAGAATTTTTTTCCAAATAGATCCACCATTATTTATGAAATTATTAGATACTCCTCGATATATTGTGGAGAAAAGTCATTGATACTTATTTTTTTATATTTACAATATGACATATATAGTTTGAAAGAGCCTTGAGATGAACTAAGGTTGAGACCTCAGTAGCATTACTTGATAATTGCTTACATCTAAAAAATGACTTCACTTTTATTACTCATTTTGTTAGCAGAGTCGAAATGGGATGGGAGGAGGGAGGTCGTGATGTGTTCATCATTCCCTTCTGAGCAGTGTTCTGCACGTGCATACAAAGGCTGATGTTTTATGGGACTTGGCAGAAAAATGTCAGGATATTAGGGCATGTTGCTACTCCTGTGCATCTTCAGGAAGGTCCTTACAAGAAAGAGACAGCATAAGAAAGCTGGAAGGGAGCATGCACCTCTGCTAAGAGAACCTTCTGCCTGGGGTCAACAGTAAACATGACTGACATAACCTTTTTCACTTGCAAAAAGCAAATTCCTTCCTACAAGCTTAATTTAATTTAAGGATCACTCTCATATATTGGGGAACAATAGATAAATTAGAGTCTGACCACATAACTCACTTGACTGCCAAGGGATGATCTAACTAGCTATCTGGTAAAATATGATATTTCTAGGAAGTAGTAATTGCTATGTATTTAGATATTCTTATACAAATTTCTGTGGGGATAAGAATTTCAATAAATGGTACTGAATCAATCGGCTATCCCTATGGGAAAAAGTAAATGTTGATCCTTACCTAAACACCATACATAAAAATTAATTCAAGATGGATCATAAACCTAAATATAGAAAAATAAATTTTTCTTGGAGGAAATCTTCATGACCTTTGGTAGAGAACAAATGCCCAAAGAGGATACAAATAACAGAACCATAAAAAATCAATTAGATTTTGTTAAAATTAAGAATTTCTGTTTATGAAAAGATGCCAGTAAGTGAGTGAAAAGGAAGAGATATTCACAACACTTATATCTGCCAAAGAACTTGTGTCCAGGATATACAGAATATACACTTTCAAATCAATAAGGAAAAGACAACCCAATGTGAAAAATGAACACATGACCTGAATAGGAACCTTAAGAAAAGACTATTCAAATGGTCAAAAACCTGTTTAGCAGGTGCTCAACATCATTCCTCATTCAGTTTCTTGATTTTAAAAATCTACATGTGGACATCTCACAAGTTTGTATCTTCACCTTGAACTCCAGACTTTATGTCCAGTTCAACATTCTCCACTTGGGTGTTTAGTAAGCAACCCAAACAACATATCCAAAGTACCGGTTGTCCACCAAGTACCTGCTTATGCTCAGTCTTCCTGGATCAATCCGAGACTTCTTTCCTTCAACACCTCTTATCTAACCTCTTAGAAATTTTGTTAGTGATATCTTTAAAATATACTTAGAAGCCAGACTTCACAGCACTGTACAGGTTAGCATCCTGGTTGAGACCACCACATCCCCATCGCCAGGCTTCCCTGCTTACACCACTGCCTGACTGCAGTCTACTATCCAAAGAGCAGCTAAACAGATCTTTTTTTATAATGTAAGGCAGATCATAGTATTTTTCGTCTCAAAACATTCCAGTGACTTCCTACCTTAGTGTCACAAAGAAGGTCCTTACCATGGACTATGTTATTGATTGAAATGTGTCCCCCCAAATTCATATGTTGAAGTCCTAACCCCTAGTACCTCACGATGTGACCTTATTTGGAAACAGGGTCATTGCAGATGTAATTAGTTAAAATGAGGTCATACTGGAGTAGAGTGGATCCTAATAGAAAGGGGAAATTTGGAGACAAACACATATTCAGGGAGAATACCATGTGAAGGTGAAGGGAGAGTTTGGAGTGATGCTTCTACAAACCAAGGAATGCCAAAGATTGGCAACAAACCATGGGAGCCTGGAGAAAGGCCTGCAGCAGATTCCCCACCACAGCCTCAGAAGGAACCAACCCTGAAGACACTTTGATTTTGGACTTCTGACCTCCAGAAATGTGAGACAATAACTTTGTTGTTTAAACCATAGTTTGTGGTACTTTGTTACAGCAACCCTACTAAACTGATACAACTTAAAATTATTTTTTACAA